GTGGATGAGAACACTTCTGCACATGTTTAGCTTACATCACAAAGATGGCGGACAGGAATTCGTATGGGCACACTTAACTTTTTGCAAGAAGTCTTTAGCTGAAACAAAAGGAGAAGACACTGTGAAGGTGTGTTCACATACAAGTTTGCCCTTGAGCTGGTCTCATGTGCTGCTGACATAATTACTTCATTCTTCTATAGGTCTTAGAAATAAATTTCTTTTTTATTATTTATTTATTATCTATTTGGCTGAATGTAACATTTATACATAGTATGAGCTCAAGTTAAGTATTTTCCTGAACAGGCACATGTCTCTACCCCCAGCTCTCCCATAGGATTTTGAATTTAAAGGCCAGAGATTTCCTCTGAATAATTTTCCCTCAGATTGAATATGCTCTAGTTAAAGTTGACTTATTAAAGAGCTGTTGAAGAAATTTATGCATTAATATATAATACAATACTATAGCACATTCTTACTTTAAGGTATCTTAATTTATTTATTGAACAAATACAAGTGCCAACCTTGTACAAAGCACTGTTCTATATATTTGAGAATCCTATCACTGAACAAATAAACTTCAAAAAAGCCTTTCTTATTATAGAAGGTAGACAGAAAACACACAAAACCAGTATATCATACAGACTTTTAAGGTGAGGGCATTCTTTGGAAACAGTGTAGACTAAGTTAAGTGCTAGAGGCCAGGGGTGGGGCTTAGGATGTGGTCAAGGTAGGCCATTGAGAAAGAATCTGATGAAAGACAGGGAAGGCTTTGCTTGGTGAGTATCTGAGGTGAGCACTGGACACAGAGCAGGTGCTGAAAGGCTGGAATGGGCTGGAGCAGCAGGAAGCTCCTTCCAGCTCAGTGGACTAGGCAGTACTGTTAGGTGTGGTCCCAGGCTGCCCAGAAACAATTCTCCTAAATCCATTTTCTTCTACCATTGTAACTTAAGAACCCCAAAGACTCTTTCAATCAATAGAATAGTGTATTGATCCTCTCAAGCATTGATCCTTTTTGCATAGAACTTTAATAACATCTTGGAAAACAAATAAGGGCTTCTGCCTATGTGTGGTCCCTTCCCCACTCAGCTGTGATTTTGATACTTCATGAGGTTGTGCGCTTCAGACTATAGTTTTGAATCATCAGAGATTTTTTTTTAAATACCTAATTTCTAGCAAAAAAAAAAAAATGGGGGGATTTTGAATATCAGAAATACTTTACTAGGTTGGTACATCTTAAATAACAGACAATGAAGAATACTGATTTAGTAATAATGATTCCTATTCAGATTTTGATGTAAGGTCATGACACTTTTTGCAAAGACCAGTTAGTAATCATAAATTTTATTCTCTTTCTTTGTGTGTTATTAGAATTCTTAAGTATTCATGAAGGTTCCATTTAACAAAATAAGTAGAACCTGACCCCCAGCTGTCTTATGAGGATTGTTGATAATATAAAAAGGTAGATTATGGAATCTACTTTTAAAAAACAACCACTTGTTTTAAATATTTTACATTGGATTAGATTTTTGTATATTGTATACAGATTTTGTATATTGATACAAATTTGAGATTATTTTAGTTGGAACATACTATACATATACTTCTAATCTTGTTCAAGGTATTGTACCTATACAGTTCATTTAACAATGTAATGCAAATTGCTAGTCCTTGAAAGTTGTTATTACCAACTAATAGGATATAAAAAATGCAAGTTATTGCAATCAAACTTGTAAGTCATATTAGGTATGTTTTCAAGGTCAAAGAAATATATTTTAGTTAGGTCATCTTCAAACACTTCAGAGATCTACAGAATATGGCATTTAATCTTTTTGTTTTTGTTTTTGTTTTTCGAGACAGGGTTTCTCTGTGTAGCTTTGGAGCCTGTCCTGGAACTCACTCTGTAGACCAGGCTGGCCTCGAACTCATAGAGATCCGCCTGGCTCTGCCTCCCAAGTGCTGGGATTAAAGGCGTGCGCCACCACCACCCGGCATGAATATGGCATTTAAAATGCTGACAGTATGCTGTTCAACTGGGACAAGCAGGGCACAAAAGAAAGGACTGCCGAACTTTGCCAAGACAAAGTAGGACAGCCCTTCAGAAAATCCTGCTTCACAGATGGGTCTGTCTCATATGCTAAGCCTGTAGGCCAAAGATGGATGCCTTAATGTTGTAGAGGAACCTTGGGTGACTGTCCAGGCAGCTAACTGCTTCTGTCATTTCTCACAGTTTTTGGAAGTCGCTTGTTTGCACTTCCTGCTTACTCAGTTAATATTATTTCTTTCTTGGGGAGTGGAAGACTAGATAATTATATAGTTTTCCTTGTTAACAAATTCAGAAAAGAAACTCACTAAAGAGGTGCAAAGTATGTAAGTTTGAAAGACATCAAAAGATAGTGTTCAGTTGGTAATACAAGTTAGGATAGAGAGTGAATTAGGTACATTTTGGACCCACCAAAATAGGATAAATAATAGAGTATTTTCTCTGAATTTGTCAAATGTTTATGGACTGGACATTGTTAATGTAATTCTTTTTTTTTTTTTTTTTTTTTTTTTTTTTTTTTGGTTTTTTGAGACAGGGTTTCTCTGTGTAGCTTTGTGCCTTTCCTATTGCGCTGCCTTTCCTGGAACTCACTCTGTAGACCAGGCTGGCCTCAAACTCACAGAGATCACCCTGGCTCTGCCTCCCGAGTGCTGGGATTAAAGGCATGCACCACCACCGCCCAGCGTAATTCTTGACTGTATATATTGTATATACTTAATGTACTTACTATATATATTTTTTCTTATATTAGTTATAACTTTTTATTATTTTAAACAGAAAAAGGGAAATGTGGTAATATATTGTGTACTCTAATAAACTTTGCCTGAAGATCAGAGACCAGAACAAGCCAGTAGATTAAACATAGATGCCAGGCAGTGGCGGCACATACCTTTAATCCCAATGGTTGGGAGTCAGACGCCTTTAATCCTAGCACTAAGAAGGAAGTGTAATGGTGGGCTGAGAAAGGTATATAAGGCGTGAAGAGACAGGAACTAAAGTCTTTGGGCTAGAGGTTTTTCAGGCTGAGGAGTCGGTGAGGTAAGAGGTGATGGCTGTGGCTTGTTCCTTTGTCTCTCTGATCTTTAGGCAAATTTTATTAGGGTACACAATATATCACCACATTTCTGAAGGTGACTGACAGCAGTTGGCGGCAGTAGTCATGCTGCTAATTTACCTCCAAAAGTTTGTGTTTAGCACATGAGAAATACCTGTTTTAGGTTTTGATATACCCTATGGTATAATCAATTGCTATTTGTTATTCTTAGGAAGTTATGCCCGGTCTCTTTTCTGTGTCAGTAATTTAATGTGTCACTTCCTCTACTTAAAGTCAGAAGGGTAAATCGTGACACTTTGATTTCATAGGTGAACAGAAGCCCCAGATTGGGTAACCTAGACAAAGCCATGTATCTTATTTCAGCATCTTAGAAGGAATCTTGACTTTTAAAGAAAATTGTGTAAACACATTCTGAAATAACTAGAAATGAATTGGGTGTTTTTCTTCTGTTTCCCCCTAGGGATAGAAGAAAGAATGCATTACTTATACCATACTTTCTTTTTTCCTGCATTAACAATTCTTTATTAAGAGTATTTTAAAAAGGTGGTGGTGTTAGCCTCGTTTTGCAGATGGATAATATGAGATGTTAGGAAGCTAAAAATAAATAGTTTGGAAATGTTTTGTTTATAATGTCATATAAAACAAGCTAGGTTTCATATAGTACATTTCAATCCAGTCTGTGGGCAAGCAGGCAAATAATTCAGCCAAAGGTAATGTATATTAAGGTTGAATTGCTATTAGTAGGCATGGAATACAGTGTGTTTATAATTAACTTGTAAATATGCTTTTCAAAATTTTTATTTTGTGTGTGTGTGTGTGTGTACACGTGTGTGCATGCATGCATGTACATGTGTATGCATTTCATGTGTGGAGGTCTGATGACAATTTGCAAAAGTGAGTTTTGTCTTTCCAGCCTGTGGGTCCTAGAAATCTAGCTCAGGCCATGGCCTTGGTGGCAAGAGCCTTTATCAAGCCATCTCACCGTCCCATTGTTTTATTAGTTTTATTGATGCTGCTTAAAAGGCATTTTATCAATTGAGGTTTATAAATAAATTACTTGATAAATACTGTATTAGTTGTTTTTCTTGTCACTGGGCAAAATAGCTGACAGAAACAACCGAAAGAAGGAGGCTTTGTTCCCCTCAGGTTTAAGGGTACGTAGTCCATGGTGGCCGGGAGGCACAGTACCGGAGCATGTGGCAGAGCTGTTTACATTTCATCCTAGGAAACGGAGAGGGGGTGCTGCTTTTCTCCCTTTTCACCCTGGAATGCCAGCACGTAGAATGGTATCATCCACATTTAAAGTGGTTCTTTCCACCTCAATTAACCCAGTTTTTAAAAACCGCTCTAAGACAGGCCCAGAGATTTGTTTCCATGGTGATTCTAAATCCTGTCCAGTTGACAATCAAGATTAGCCATCACAAATGCATGCCAAGCATCCAAAATTTTCAAAGGTCCTATTAACTCTGTGCATGGACTTCTGCCTAAAGGAGCCTAGAGGGGAGCCACAGACAAGTGTGAACCTAACAGGATGCTCAGAGCCCAGAGATGTGAAGAGATTTTGTTATAAAAGGGAAGAAAGGAAGGCCTGTCTGAGGAACTAGTGGTTTCAGTTGAACCTGATATCTGCAGAAAAGGAGAGGGCAGTGGAGAGAGATGGTGTGGAATGGCCAGGACGAAGACTGCTTTACTAGCCCAGTACTGTTTTCAGTAGTCAAGAAAAGAAGAGAGTGTAAATTTAAAAAAAGAGTAAAATTAAAGAAAAGAAGGAAGTAATTACCCATGGGCTTTAATGAACTATCTTCATTGATACTTTTCTCTAAAGATAAATTTTTGGATTTATAACTTGCTTATAGCTTAATATAATTTCCATAATTGGTTTTTAAATTTTATTTTAACCGGCAGAATCTTAAGAAGATTCAAGAAATGGAAAAGACTGATGAATCTAGCCCAGATCTGGAGGACCTGAAAAATGCGGACTGGGTAAGGAACTAGATATACTTTCTGATCAGTTCAGCTTTGAAAAATAGTGTTTGGTTTTGTTTGAATGCTGGTTATTAAGGACTGAAGGATGAATTGGTACATAAATTTGAATGCTTGATTTTACAAGTGGTGAGTATTTCTGTATCCCCAGTAGTAGATCTCCCTGCAACACAGTAAGCCAGATCAAGCCAAATTAAAAGTCTAGGTTTAAAATGAGCAAAGCACTCTGGGTGACTCAAGCCCTCAGAAGTGAGGCCAGGGAGAGAGGAGGAGAACTCACATGGCAGGTCTAGTGACTGGAACTTAAATGCCCTGTAGGCGGTCTTGGGCAGTGGGGGAGGAGCCGCCACTTGGTGGGCGGGGTTTGGGATTGGGGGTGGGGAGTGAGGCCAAGGTGAGCTCCCAGCTGAACAATAAGTGAATAAATATTTTCATTATAAAAGTTTTTCTTATTGTGAAAGAGCTGCCCCCATTGTGTCTGGAAATATTGTTATTAACATTTATAATTATAAATACCTTAATAATACTCATTACTCAAAATAGAAGCTCTGTGTCAGGATGTGAGACTAGCAGTGTGATGCATTTTTTATCCAATGAACATTTACTGGGTTAGAGGCCTATAGATGCAGAATGAGGGATATGTAGTCTCTGCCTTCCCTAACACAGTCTAGACTAGAGAGGATATTTTCTAGAACAGGAGATTATGGTATTTCCATATGGCACACTTGAGTATACACTCCTTTTCAGACACCATACTAAATCCTGTAGACACTGAGAGTCCCTGCTCTCAGATAGAACAGTCTTGGGCACAGGACAGTGGATGTCAGGGAGTGCTAAGTAAAGCATTCCAGATATCAAGGGAGGCACACGTTAGGATTCTGACTTTGAGATTAAAGAACATGGTCAGCAGTTGATCTTACTGCTTTTGCAGAGGACACAGGTTCAGGTCCCAGCACAGCCGGGCAGCTCACAACTAACTCCAGTTCCAGGAGATCAGATGTCCTTGTGGCTTCCAAGGGCTCATACACACACATTGCACATAAACTTACTTAGATTCTCACACACACACAAGTAAAATGGAAATCTTTTTTAAAGGATAGTAATGGTATTATTAAGTGAAAGACTCTTTAAATAGATGCAGATTTGAGAACTGTGAATAAGTTCCCTTGACAGTATTAGTTTTTTTTGTTGTTGTTTGTTTGGTTTGGTTTTTTTGGTCTTTTGAGACAGGGTTTCTCTGTGTAGTTTTGGTGCCTGTCCTGGATCTTGCTCTGTAGACCAGGCTGGCTTCGAACTCACAGAGATCCGCCTGGCTCTGCCTCCCTAGTGCTGGGATTAAAGGCACCCGGTGACAATATTAGTTTTTGTTTGCCATGTTCCTTAACATCTTTATTAAGAAACACTATAGACATGCTTATAATAAGGTGTACGTGTTCAAAGTGTACAATGTGGTAAGTTTTGACACATTGGTGAGTATATCCATGTGACCATCACCATAATCAAAATAATGATCCTACCATCCCCCCTTCGTTACTTTATTTCCTGCCTCCCTGCTCTCTGCATTTGCACTGTCTAGAGTTTTATGTGCGATGGTGATGAGTGAGTGCTGGTTCATACTGGATTCTTGCACTGGACACAGTGTGTTTTAAGACTTGGTGCCGCCGCCGCCGCCTGTATCACTGTTGCCCTTCCATTTGGTACTAAGTGCCACTCCACTTGACAGAGAAATCAGTTTGTTAGTCATCTCTTGATGGTCACTTGGGTTATTTCTTGGGTTTGTTGTTATTATTGTATGTGATGACTCCCCACCCCACCCCCCTCGTGTAGCTCTGGCTGTCCTGAAACTAGCTCTGTAGACCAGGCTGGCTTTGAACTCAGAGTGATCCACCTGCCTCTGCCTCCTAAGTGCTGGGATTAAAGGCGTGCACTGCCGCCACCACCACCACCAAGTGTGCATTTTTTTAACTAAAGAAGACAAGGTAGAAGGAGAGAACTGACGTTACAGAGTTGTCTTCTGACTTACATATGCTCCATGGAGATACATACCCACATACACACACACATCACACCTAATAATAGTAATAATCACTGAAGTTTTGCAAAGTAATAATTAAATAATAATCCAAACTGCAGCAATCACTGACCAGAACCTCACAAACTTCAAGGGGAGTTCCTTTTGCTAGATACCACCTCTTCTCACAACACCGCTCAGGTGAATGACCTGGAAAGATGAGAGTGAAGAGGGGAAGCCGATGGAGAAGTTGATGTCTCTAAAGGGGTTCGAGCGGCGGGGAAAGGTGCCTGATGTCTAACCATTTATTTTATACAGAGAAATTGGTTTGGTTTTGTAGATAGACCCTAGAAACTCATACATACAAACCATCTCCTCTATCAGTTAGCTGCACACTGAGTGTGGAAAATTCTTATGACTTAACTTATGTTTTTAGGTAGCTATTGAAGACACATTAATTTTGATAAGTTACATTTTAATTAAATACTGTATGGGTTGACTTTTCACTGAAGTAGACAATGATAGATAAGACAAGTAAACCAAAGGATTAAGGAATAATGCACATTTTAGTATATGTTATACTAAGTATTTGATGTCTCATCTTATTAGAACTCTTGAAGGTGGAGAGCGACTTATTATTTTAGATAAGAGAACTGATTGTAGGATGTGTACTAGATAATATAAAATTGTAATTTTGAGCATTGTATATTTATAAAACACAAGACGTCGAGTGTTCATTATCACTTACTTCTCATTGATGAGATGAACTCAGGCAGGTGAAGCAGCTGCTGGTTCCCAGCTAACAGCAAGTACGAGTATCCACCAGCTGTAGATGCAACAGTGCTGTGCGCTAAGCACAACACAGCCAAGGGGGAAAGCGTGGACTTACCTAGTCACTCACGGGTCTGCAGGGCAGCTGTATCATCTCTGCTCTGTCCTGAGAACAGAGCCAAACCACGCTTGAAGAAGCATGAGAAGGACAGCTTGCTGTACTTGTGCTTTTGAAGTCTTTAGTGTCCTCTCACCGATATTCCACTGACCACACAATCATATAGTCAGACTCCCAAGTCAGTGTGGGGAATACACCACGCTTTCAGTAAGCAATAGTACTGGGGACTGTCTTTGTGGCGTTTTTATTGTTGTGAAGAGACATCATGAACCCAGCAACTTTTATAAAGGAAAACATTTAATTGAGGGGGCTCTATTCCAGTTTCAGAAGTTCAGTCCATTATCATCATGGCAGGAAACATGGTGGTGTGCAGGCAGACATGGTGCTGGAGGAGTAGCTGAGAGTCCTACATCTTGCAGGCAACAGGAAGTCAAAGTTACACTGAGCAAAACTTAAGCCAAAGACTTGGGAGCCTGCCCCACAGTGACCCACTTCCTCCAGCAAGGCCATCCCCACTCCAGCAAGGCCACACCTCCTAATAATGCCACTCCCTGTGAGATTATGGGGGCCAAATACATTCAAACGACCACAGGGATGTGTGTGTTGTAATTCAGTCTACTGACTTTCTACTCATCCAGTGATATCCTAAAGTCTAATGTGTTCCCTTTCCTTGGTTGGTGTTTTATATCCCTGCCTTTCCTTTATTCTCTATGACTGTAAGCATTCAGAGAAAACTAGTGGATTTGTTTATTGATGATTATCCATCGTTGGATCTTTCAGGCACGATTCTGGGTACAGGTGATGAGGGATTTGCGAAACGGGGTCAAACTTAAGAAGGTCCAACAGCGGCAGTACAACCCGTTGCCGATTGAATACCAGCTCACCCCTTATGAGATGCTCATGGACGATATTCGGTGCAAAAGATACACCTTGAGGAAAGTAATGGTAAGCACGCAAATGGTTGCCTCTAGCTTATTTGGAAATGGGTTAATCAGTATTATTTCTTCTCACAAAATACTTGATCACTATAGAAAACTTGAAAAATGCATTAAGCTCAAAGAAGGAAAGTTATAAACGTATAATTTTATAACCAAAAGGAATTTTGTTATTCTACTGGCTCGTTTTCTGTGTCAACTTGACACAAACTAGAGTCTTCAGAGAGGAAGGAGCCTCAGCTGAGGAAATGCCTCCATGAGATCCAGCTGTAAGGCATTTTCTCAACTAGTGATCAGTGGGGGAGGGTCCAGTCCGTGGTGGGTGGTGCCATCCCTGGGCTGGTGGTCCTGGGTTCTATAAGAAAGCAGGCTGAGTAAGCCAGGGAAAGCAAGCCAGTAAGTAGCTCCTCTCCATGGCCTCTGCGTCAGCTCCTGCCTCCAGGATCCTGCCCTGTTTGAGTTCTTGTCCTGACTTCCTTCAGTGATGAGCAGCAGTGCTGAAGTGAAAGCCGAATAAATAAACTCTCTCCTCCCCAAGTTGCTTTTTGGTCATGATGTCTCATCGAAGCAGTAGAAACCCTAAGACAGTTAGTTATGTTGCTTTGCCATTTGCATTCATTTTCATTCCCCTGCCCTCTCTGTTGTCTGGCAGATACTGCTGTTGTTGTTGTTTTGATACAGGGTGTTGCTATGTTGCACTGGCTGGCCTGGAACCCACTGTGTAGACCAAACTGGCCCAAGAGTGGTCCTCCTGCCTCTCCTTCTGCCTCCTGAGTGCTGGGGAGTCAAGCATGTGCCACTATGCCTAGCTTAATCCTCAGTCTTCTTTCTGCATTTTATTAGACAAAATGGACTGATTTCTGTTTATCACCTATTATCCTTGTTTCATGTTGTGAATAGTCTTCTGTGTCATTAGTATTCTAAAGGATTACATACTTTCTAGCTTTCTATATCAGAAGTCATTAAACTCATCACCTCAGCATCAGGTATAAGCAGGCTGTTTCATGTATCCTGTTCTATACATCTATTAATAGCTATACAGTGAGGTCCTTGAGCCATGTTCTCAGGTCAGGCACATCCAGCTCCTCAGCAGATCATGGGAGCTCTGCCTTGAAAATGTCTCCTTTGTGTACCACTTCTCCCATCACCTCCGTCTCGCATTGAGACTGCCACAGTGGCCTCACTGTCCTGTTTGCTGGGGTTACAAGTGTGTAATACCACATCTTTACATTTTTAGCCTTTTTCCACTGTCCTGGAGAAATCATGTACCCTTAAGAAAAATATGTATTCTAAGTTGCCAGGTATGGTAACGTCTATTTGTGATTCCCAGTACTAAGGGTGTAGAAGCAGAAGGTCTGTCTCAGAAAAGAATAGGAGGGAGAGAGAGGCAGAGGAAGTGAGGGAAAGAGGGTATTCTGTTACTAGGTGAAGAGTTCTTCTAGTTAATTTTAACCTTAATTAACCTTTTTCTTGGTTGATCTTCCGTTCAATACACGTTGTAAATGGAGTCTTAAAAGTCTCCAACTAGTCTAGAGTTGTTTATTTCACTTTCAATGTTCGTTTCTTCATATATTTTAGACTGTAATTTGGTACATATTTATTTATTCACTTATTCATTCATTTATTTATCTATTTTTTTTTTTTTGAGACAAGGTTTCTTTGTGTAGCCTTGGCTGTCCTAGAACTCACTCTGTAGACCAGACTAGCCTCAAACTCTGCCTCCTGAGTGCTGGGATTAAAGGTGTGCCACCACTGCCCAGCTGCAAGTACATATATACTTATAATTGTTAGATCTTCAATATCTAGTGTCTGGTTTTATCATAGCTGTTTCCTGGACATCTGTTTTATCTGCTGTTAACATTGCTGCCCTAGCTCTTTTCTTTCACAGATTACTGTTGGCATTGACTTCCTTGAACATCCTTCTCTTTTGAGCTTATTCGTGTTACTTACACATTTCTGTTTTTCTTTTTTTTTTTTTAAGATTTATTTGTTTATTTTATGCGTTTGAGTACTTTACCTGCATGTATATAAGTGCACTGTGTGTGTGCCTGGTGTCCAAGGGGCTGAAGAAGGTGCCAGATCCCCTGGAGTTGGAGTTACAGATGGTTGTGAGCAACTACATGGGTGCTGAGAGTAGAACCCAGGTCCTCTGCAGCCAGTGCTCTCCCTAAGCATCTCTCCAGCTCCTCTTTTTAATTTTTTATTTTAATTTAAATGTAATTCACTCACTGTAAAAATTTAAAAATCGAAGTAAAATTAAAATTCAATTCTACCATCTTGTAATGTATTTACTTCTTGAGATTTTATATTATATATTATTGTATATAATATAATTAAATTATATACTCTTATAGTACCATATAAACTTTCCCTTCTGTTGAATATAGTGTAAACTTGGTTATTTAAAAAGATTCTATTTTTTTTGGTTTTTTTTTTTTTTTTTTTTTTTTTTGGTTTTTCGAGACAGGGTTTCTCTGTGTAGTTTTGCGCCTTTCCTGGAACTCACTCTGTAGACCAGGCTGGCCTCGAACTCACACAGATCCACCTGACTCTGCCTCCCGAGTGCTGGGATTAAAGGCGTGTGCCACCACTGCCCAGCCATATATCAGTATTTTGCCTACATGTGTTTATGCCATGTGCGTGCCTGGTACCCATAGAGATCCAAAGAAGGTATTGGATCCCCTGGACCTGGAGTTATAAATGGTTGTGAGCTGCCATGTGGATGCTGAGAATTTAACCCAGGTCCTCTGCAAAATCAAAAGTGCCTTTAACCACTGGGACATCTTTACAGCCTTTTTACCTTTTTTTTTTTTTTTTAAACTTTCTTGTTTTGAGACAGGATCTCGTGTAACCTTGTCTGGCTTTGAACTCCTGGTCCTCCTAGCTACAGCTTTTGAGTCCTAGAATTAGAGCCTGCCAGCATTCCCAGCTGCTTTAAAATTTGAAAATAATTTAGTTTAAGTACGTTTTTAGTTTAAGTAATTTAAATTTAGTTTAAATAATGCATTTTCATTATTCTAAATGAAGAAACTAGGGTTTGCGTTTGAAAAGTTGCCCTCTCATGCGTTTATTTCTTAGAGGCAACCAAAGTTGTTTTTTGTATTGTTTTCCGGTGCGTGGCTGCTTCCCTGTTGATTGAGCATGTGCACATCTCTGCCCCGTTACAGATCCTGCTGTGTCTGTATCTGCTGACTACATTGTTCACAGCATGTGAAAGCTTTTACATTCCAGTCCACTTCTCATTCATTTTTAATTCGCATGCAAAAGGTTCACTATGACATTGTCATACGTATATATCGCTGTCCTTTGTTCATTCCCTCCTCTCTTCAACGAGTCCCACTTCTGCTCTCACAAATCTACATAATTTTATGTAGCTAACGCAGTCCACAATTTGTAAAAGATTTATTGTATTACATTTTAGTCATGTGTACATATGTGTGTCTGTGTGTAGGTAAGTGCACATGAGGGCAGGTGCCTATGGAAACCAGAGGGATCAGATCCCCTGAAACTGGAGTTATAGACATGTTGGGGCCACAGAGGCCCTTGTACTCACAGACTAGCATTAAGGAAAACCGAGAATGTTAAACACAGGGGCCTCTTCTCAATGAAGGAGATAAAATACCTGTTTTCCTGCCCAGAAGTCTGAGAGTGGATTATGTTAAGGACCTGGTAACCTTTTTGCTATAGAGGCAGACCTCACTCAAATTCCCCAGAATGATTATCCCAGACTTTTCCCTCCCTAGACTATTACCCATCCTTAGGGGAGATGTCACATGTACTATATGGCCTTTGACCTCTATGCTATTGATCAGAGGTCACTAGATTCTAGGCCTTTTAGCTGTAGAATCCATGCTCATGGTCACATGTACTTTATAAAAGAGTTTCTATGCTGTCACACCTTAAGCTTTATTATATACCTGTAATTGGACGGATTGGACTGATGGTTGCCTGGAAACCTTTCCCCAAATTGTACTGAGTTTTAAATATTTGACAGTGAACTGCCTGGCACCAGGTTTTCATTCTTACCTCTTCTCGGATCACTGCCAGCATTGACACCTGCCAGGACTCACACATTGGCAGTTGTGAGCCACTCAGTGTGGGTGCTGGGAACTGGACTCAGGTCCTCTGGAAGAGCGGCAAGAGCTCTTAACTACTAAGCCATGCCCCCAGCCCACAGTCTACAGTTACTAATAGCCCAAAGTAATCTATAACGTGGGCAAACCAAAGTTGAGCTAATCTCTTATTGTTGATTTGCTGTTTTTAATTTTTCTTAATATAAGTTCTAGCCATACAATTACTGGTTCAGCGGATATACATGTCTGTAAACAGGCAGTGGTTCTTAACCTTCCTAACCTTTTAATACAGTTCCTCATGCTGTGGTGACCCCCAACTATAAAATTATTATTATTATTATTATTATTATTATTATTATTATTATTTATTTATTTATTTTTGGTTTTTCAAGACAGGGTTTCTCTGTGTAGCTTTGGAGCCTGTCCTGGAACTCACTCTATAGACCAGGCTGGCCTCGAACTCACAGAGATCCGCCTGGCTCTGCCTCCCGAGTGCTGGGATTAAAGGCGTGCGCCACAACCGCCCGGCCTTAAAATTATTTTTATTGCTACTTCATAACTAATTTTGCTATTGTTATCAATTGTAATATAACTATCTGATATGCAGGATCTCTGATATGTGAACCTCAAGGGGATTGGGACCCATAGGTTGAGAACCACCGGTCTAAGGACTAATAAATACTGCCAGGTTGTCTAATATACTTATAAGCCATCTTGTGGTTTGAAAGTCAGATATACATATTTGATGTAATTCTAATTCTAAGATTATAGCTTCACGTGGTTCTAAAGAATCTGTTTTCTTTACGTGAGCCAGGGCCATAGTGTCAGATGATAGAGTTCTTTCAACCTTGTCAATGTTTGGCATTAGCAGAGAAGTGTACATCTCAGCTTTGAGCAGCTACTGAAGTGTAGCATGGGTGAGTCATAAGACTTTATTTCCAGAGAGTTGCTAAAGGGAAGGCTGTACAGTGTGAGAATTGGGTGGGTGGCAACTTACTTTTTTCTGTTTTACTTCAAATTCAGCTGCCTAAAACTTTTTACTTAAGAAACAGTGCAGAGTTCACAGGATAGTTTTGTTTATTTTTTAAATAATATATTCTTATTTTATGTATTGGTGTTTTGCCTGCATGTATATCTGTGTGAGAGTGTCAGAAGCCTTGGAACTGGAGTTACAGATAGGTGTGAGTTTCCATGTGGGTGCTGGGAACTGAACCTGGATCCTCTGGAAGAGCAGCCATCTCTCCAGCCTCCGTCCAGGGTAATTTTAAAATAATTCAAAGGAATCACTTTTTGTATATTAGAAGGTTTCTGTTTGTAAGCCATTGTGCCCCCCAAATAAGATCAAGTTCCTGTATTTTCTTTAAATATACAATTTGTCCACCTGGAATCATTTCTTACTTCAGTTGTTTTGTTTTGTCAAATATTCTGTGAACTGAGAATGATCTGGTGGCCCTGGAGCAGTGTATTTTACCTACTCTAGCTTACTTTGTATCCACTTACCTGTTGTCCTCAAAGTGAGTGCTGGTCCATAGTGGGGTTGAGGCCGGGATTGTAGCTCTTGTGCCCTGAAGAGAAAGCCGGGAGTGGTGGCACATGCACATAATCTCAGCACTTGGGAGTTGGAGACAGAAGGATTAGGAGTTTGATGTCATTCTTAGCTACCTATCAATTTGAGGCCAGCCTGTGCTACATAAGACCCTGTCTCAAAGACAAAAACACCAGAAAAGCAGCTCGTGTGATGTGTTTGTGTGGATGTTGGAACTTGCAAGCCAACTTAACTTTTTCCCACTTTCTCATCTTCTTGTCGTGATGGAAAGAATATTAAAAGCATATGAAGATTATTTAGAAGGATATATTAGAAGTAGAATTCTAAGTATAAGAATGTCTGATTAAGTTGTATAATATCAGTGGATTTAAAAAAATCTTACACACCAGGAAATCCACAAGTAAGGATCATGCCACATCAGGCCTCTGGTTCTGCTGGTAGGTCCTGCAGCTCCCCTTCTTAAGCTAGGTACTGGCACTCACATGCTGGGCTGGGCTCTCCAGTGATTGCTGCTGGTGCCTGCCTTGTGGCCTAGAGAGGTAGAGAAGGGAGTGGTGTGAGGTAGATCCCAGTGCGGCTGTCATGGGGGAAGGGCCGGGCCTGAGGTGGTATTTCAGCCTGTTTTGTTTAAGTAAGACTGAGAAACAAAACCATGTGTGATGGCACATACCTATAACCCCGGCACTTTGGATGTAGAGACAAGAAGTTTGGAGGTTCAAGGTCACCTTCCACTGCCTGTGAGTTCAAAACCAGCCTGGGGTACACAAGACCTTAGCTCAAAAACCTACCCCTTAAGAAAGACAGAGTCACACCTGTGCCTTCTGGGAAGTCAGAATCTTAGTCACTGAACATACAGTGACAATTTCTTGATTCACATATCTGTTTGGTTTTTGTTCTTTTGTCTCCTTTTAGGTAAATGGTGACATTCCCCCTCGGTTAAGAAAGAGTGCTCATGAGATCATCCTTGACTTCATCAGATCAAGACCCCCTTTAAATCCAGTATGTAACTTAACACACTCTCCCCAGGGATGGGTCTGTAGCTCTCTTCCAAGCTCTCCCTTGAGAGTATGAAGCCTACCTGTAAATTACAGTCTAAAGCACAGAGACACCCCTTCGGTTATTTAATACAGTTATTTAATACAGTATGTTTTCACTCACAGCAGTCTGAGTCATAGTGCACAATCTGTCTGAATACCTGCTATAACAGCTGAAAACTAATACCACACAGTTTCTGGCATGAGTTGCCTTTCCAACTCAAATCATGCTAGTACACTGCTTAGACCACAGTCACACTGACACTACTTTACACTAAATGTGCACTCACCTTTAGGTTAACAGTCTGTTGGCAGGGTTTTCCCTAGTGACAAACCATGGAATCAGAATGCTGTTTGAAGTGCTGTTTGTGTTTCTCCGTACTCTTTTCCTCCTGGCTTAGTAGCCAGCTCCCACCAAACCATGTCAGGCCTATGTACGTAAAGTAACAGCGAGGGTAAAGCAGTGTTCTTCCAGTTTGTAGACTCGTGCATAATCCATTAGCCTTTTAGATCTTTCTGAAGAAGGGGGAAATGTTGGTGCAGTAGAGAGAGGTCAGACGAACCTGATAGTCCACACTAGCCCCACAGTCTAGCTTGATTGAGCTCTAAGCCAGTTAACCTGCCTCTCTCAGCCTCAGTGTCCTCATTAATAGACCGAAGACAATGATAATCCAAGGTGGTGAATTACAAATGTTGCTTTTGGAAAGGTATTGTGGTTCGCGCTATAATCTCAACACTCAAGAGGCTGAGGCTGGGGTTGCCACAAGTTTGATACCAGTCTGGACTACAGAATAAGACTGAGTCTCAAAAAGACAGCAGTAAAGTTAGTTTCCAAAACAGTGGCATTGAGGGGACATGGCTGTAACTTTAGCAGAACTGACTGCTTGAGTTTACCTGAGCACATGTGATCAAGTCACTGGGAGGCCCAGGAATCTCCTGTTGAATTAGAAGTCTTGACATTGGGGCTTGAGAGAGAGCTCAGTAGGTAAAGGTGTCTGCCACCAGCCTGATGGTTGATCGGGGACCTTTGCCCAGGACCTCACAAAGTGGAAGGTGTAAACTCACTCCCTTGAATTGTTCTCTGACCGCCACTCATGTGTAAGCACATGAAAGGAATGATGGATATATAATTTAAAAATTAGAAAGAAGTCTTGATATTGAATGACTTGAATAGTCTTTTATTGGGCAATATTACAGTCAGTGAAGTACAGTTCATAAATCTGTACTGTATGAATAACTAACTATATTAAGTAAGAACAGCTAAGCAAGTCTCTAACCATTGTACTTCCTTTTCAAGGCCTCAGCCAGAAAATTGAAACCAACCCCACCACGACCTCGGAGCCTCCATGAAAGAATATTAGAGGAGATCAAAGCAGAAAGAAAGCTGCGGCCTGTCTCACCAGAAGAGATTAGACGGAGCCGACTAGGTGAGTCCCCCCTTCCTGTGCTCAGGGACCACTTAAGAGTGACCCACAGATTCTCAGTCCTTGTCTCTGGACTCCTCCTCTCTCCTGTGTCCTCCCTCCCTCCCTCCCTCCCTCCCTCTCCTCCAGCTGTTGCTCACTAACATGACCGTCACATTTGTTTGCACTTGAGATTCATGTGGCAGACGGTTCGATCCTCTCTGACGTTGAACCACCTAAGAGCACTGTGGTACAGTGGCGGGGCACTGCCAGCTTGATGCTGCGGTTTGAAGAGACGCTCTCTCCCTTTCTCAGCCTGACAACCTGCAGCACAGGAAGGGGTAGAAGGTCTTCTTGCCTCTGTTACATTTTCTGTAAGATCTAAGTAAGATCATGCTGACAGGCAGCAGAAACCTTATAAACTGATGTGTACAAGGGTAGATGATAGATGCATAGTATCACTTCATTTCTTTCAAAATCCTTCTAAGTGTGGGTGTGGCGGGTGTGTGGGTATTCATGTGTGTGCACACACTCAGAGACCAGCGGTCAGCATGAGGGGCTGCTGCCATCTTCTACCACATGTCTTGAGACTGTTTTTCACTGCATTTGGGGCACAGGGTTGCAGCTAAGGTAGCTGGCCCAGCAGTCCTCTGGAATTCATCTGTCTCCCCCTCCACCATTGGGTTCATGGCGTTTCCATGAGTGCAGGGATCCAGACTCAGGGCCTCATGCTTGTGTAGCAAGCCCTTTCCCCCTGACCATCCTCCAGCTCTGTCTTGAAGGACCGTCCAGAGTGGGCCTGCCATTTTATGTTCTCTTGAGCGCAGCGAGTGCCCCGGGTTGCCATCTTTGCTCTGCTTACCACCCCTGGGGCCTTGAGGAGCTGGTTTACTTGACGATAGCCGTCCTGACATGGAAGGTGATTTTGATTTTCAATTTCCCTAGTGATTGACGGTTGACGTTTGAGTATGCTCTCATGTAGTTCATGAACTATTTCATGTCACCTTTGGATTGTCTGTTTAGGTTCTTTGCTTTTTTTAAATCAGGGCCATCAGTTATTTTATTATTGAGCTACTAGCATTTGTTAGTATTTGACCATTAACCCCAGGAATTGATGGTCAGCGATTTCCTTTCCCCATAAGTAAGCTGCCTCTCAACTCTGAGAGTCCTGTAACAGCATCGATGTCAGGAGTATGCTGCAGATGAGGAGGAGAAGTGCTTTCCAGACCTCCCCTCGTGACCTAACGTCTGGCAGTCAGTCCCTGCCCTCTGCAGGCTCCAAGGCCCCCCAAACATGAGCCTAGAGGGGACATTGACCTTCAAATCATACACCGTAAGAATTTCAGGAGTGGTTTTTTTTTTCTATTAAGATTCCCATGGAGGGGGCAGGAGGCTGGAGAGACGAATCAGCAGGTAAGAGCACTGGCTGCTCTTGAGAGGACATGGATTCAAATCCCAGTACTCACATGGCAACTTAAAACTGTCTGTATCTCCAGTTCTAGGGAATGTGCTACAGTCCCCATCCCATGCTTCTGACCCCTGAGGGCACATACATGGGTGTACATGATGTACATACTTACATGTAGGCAAAACACTCAGACATCAAAAATGAAATCTTTAAGAAAATTGTTTTTAAAAAGAAGATTCTCTGGAGGCCTAGGGCTATAGCTCCATGGTTGAGTGCCTGCTTAGCATGAGTGAGGCTCTAAAATTAATCCCTAGGCATGGTGGCAAATGTCTTCAATGCTAACACTGGAGAGGCAGAGGAGGTGGATGGATCTTTTTGGAGTTGGAGACCAACCTGGTCTACATGGTGAGACCCTGCCTTAAAAGGAAAGAGGAGAAGAAAAAGGATTTTCATGGGAACACACATCTATAATCCCAGCACTTGGGTGGCAGAAGAAAGAGGGATTGTGAATTCGAGGCCAGCCTGGGCTATACAGTGTGTAGCCCTAGAAGGAGGGGAGAGGAGGAGCAAAGAGAAGGGGCACAGGGAGAGGAGAAGAAAAAGAAACACGGATTGTTTTGTTTGTTTTTTTACTTTGACGAGGGCTGTTGAGTTGAATCTGTAGGTGGCTTCGGGTATATGGATGTTTGTTGTTTTGTTTTGTTTTTGAGACAGGGTTACCATGTAGCCCTAGCTGTCCCGAACTCACTCTGTAGACCAGGCTGGTATCAAACTCAGAGAGATCCACCTGCCTCTGCCTCCCAAATGCTGGGATTAAAGGCCTGTGCCTCTGTGCCCAGTGGGTATATGGTATATATATATAATGGTTTTTAGAGACGGTTTCTCCATGTAGCCTTGGCTGTCTTTGAACTTGCTCTGTAGACCAGGCTGGCCTCGAACTTAGAGATCCACCTGCCTCTGCTTCCCAAGAGCTTCCATTAAAGATGTGTGCTACCACTGCCTAGCTGGTATATGGGTATTTTAACAATATTAATTCTTCCAATCTATGAGCACAGACCATCTTTTTTTTTTTTTAAAGATTTATTTATTTATTATGTGTACAGCATGTATGACTGCAGGCCAGAAGAGGGCACTAGATCTCATTACAGATGGTTATGAGCCACCATGTGGGTGCTGGGAATTGAACTCAGGACCTCCGGAAGAGCAGTCAGTGCTCTTAACCTCTGAGCCATCTCTCCAGCCCGCACAGACCATCTTTGTGTCTTATAATTTTCCATGTTTTTAATGTTCCTAGTTTATTATTTTTGTGATGTAACAAGTAATATTGTTTTCTTGTGTTTCTTTTCACGTGTTATATCAACACACAATACATTTGTCTTATGTTGACTTTCTATCAAGAAACTTGACTGAATTTAATAGCACTTTAAAAAGATTTTTTGCCTGGGCAGTGGTGGTGCACACCTTTAATCCCAGTACTCAGGAGGCAGAGCCAGGAGGATCGAGGCCAGCCTGGTCTACAGAGCGAGATCCAGGACAGACACCAAAACTACACAGAGAAACCCTGTCTCCAAAAACGCCAGAAAAAAAAAAAGAAAGAAAGAAAAAAGAAAAAAGATTTTTATTACTATTTTTCTTTATGTGTATTGGTGTTTTGTCTGTATGTCAGTTTGTGCACCATGTGTGTGCCTGATGCCTGTGGAGTCCAGAAGAGGACATCAGAAAAGGGACTGATGTTAAAGATGGTTGTAAGCAGCCATGTGGGTGCTGGGAATCAAACCCAGGTCCTCTGGAAGAGCAGCCAGTGCTCTTAACTGCTGAGCCATCTCTCCAGCCCATGAATTTATTAGCTTCAACTGTTTTTTTGTTTTGTTTTTTAATGACATTTCTAGGATTTCCTTTATATAAGATTATGTCTATAAACTGGGACAGTTTTATCCTTCCTTTTTCTAACTGGGATATCTCTTCATTTATATTCTCTGTCTGTCTGTCTGTATTTTTTTCTTGCCTAATTGCTTTAATTAGGACTTCTAGTACTATGATGAACACAAGAAAGGCCATGTTTGCTTTGTTTCTGATGTCAAGGAGAATGTAATGTGGACTTTTCATATGTAGGCTTTATTATAGCAAAGTAATTTCTTTGTATTCCCAGCTTTTTGAGTTTTCAGCGTGAGGGTGTTCTAGTTTGTCAAATACTTTTTCTGCAGTTTTGAGATGACCATGTTTTTTTATCATCTATCCATCATTAATTATGTATCACATTAATAGCTTCTAGTTTGCTTTTTCTCTTGCTTTGATAAACACTTTGACCAAAAGCAGTTTAGGGGAGGAAAGGATTTACTGCAGATTACACTTGCAGGTGGGGTATCCGGACTGGAACTCAGGCAGGCACTAAAGCAGACACCATGGAGGAGTGCTGCTTATGTGGCTGCTCACTGGCTCAGCTAGTATTCTGAAACATACACTTTCATGTATAAAAAATAAAATTGAAAAAATTTTAAATAATGACAAATCTACAATATGTTATTCTCTTGAGTTATCATTGGTTATGGCCTGAACATCTTTCATCATTAAACATAAATCAAAACATGATTTATTAGAACATGATCTCCCAACTAATGTCTAAATGATGTATTTACCTACTCTCCTACTGTTGTATTGACCATTTCCTAGCAAATCTAAAGTTATTGTTATTTATTGTACCTTGGCCTCTTTCACGTCACTGGTACATTTCTAAACATCTTAATTAGTATGATCCTTCCTCTTTGTCCTTTTGGTGGTACATGGTGCTGAAAAATGAGAGCCTCAGTTAGGGATTTCACTCTGACCCAAAACAAACAACAAAAAAAGGCAAGCCAAGAATGTAGCAGAGTTGGTAGAATACTTGTCTACCCTGCATAAAGCCCAGGTTCAGTTAGCTTAACAGGTGAGAGAGAGAGCGAGAGAGAGACAGAGACAGAGACAGAGACAGAGACAGAGACACAGAGAGAGAGACACAGAGAGAGAGAGAGAGAAATATGAACATCGTAGCCCAAGAATTGATAGCATCCCTTTTGTATGAGGTGGTCAGTTTATTCAAAAGTTATGTTCATGTACCAGAAAAGAACTCAATAAAAGATATTAGTAAACTTGATTAAAGAGTCATTTGAAAAAAAAAAAAAAGAGTCATTTGAGAATATGTATTATTTTATTTGCTATCCTGAACGAGGGGAATCTGGAATATATTTGAGTGTGTAGAACTGAGTATTTTATTTTTTTGAATGGCAGGTAGAAAATTATTCTCATCAACACAAATCCCTATCCACTTTCCTGAGACATTTAAAACTCTTAATTTGCACATTGGGATGGAAATGCTTAACCACTTAGTTCCTGATCATCAAATATTATTATTTACAACAAACTTATTATATGATGAACATAACTTTTGAATAAAATTGACCACTGCATACAAAAGGAATGCTATCAGTTCTTGGGGAATGAGGTTCATCTTTTTTCTCTTTATCTTGTTTTCATTCTCAGCGGGGTTTTTTGTTTGTTTGTTTTTTGTTTTTTCAAGACAGGGTTTCTCTGTGTAGCTTTGCACCTTTCCTGGATCTCGCTTTGTAGACCAGGCTGGCCTTGAACTCCCGAGTGCTGGGATTAAAGGCGTGTGCCACCACCGCCCAACTCAGTGTATTTTTTTTTGTTTGTTTGTTTGGTTTTTCGAGACAGGGTTTCTCTGTGTAGCTTTGCGCCTTTCCTGGAACTCGCTTTGGAGACCAGGCTGGCCTCGAACTCACAGAGATCCGCCTGGCTCTGCCTCCCGAGTGCTGGGATTAAAGGCGTGCGCCACCACCGCCCGGCTCAGTGTATTTTTTAAATGTTACTTTTTTCTTCATATTGTTATTCTATCATTTTCATAGAACTGGAATTAAGACTCAGGTGATTTTATTATATTTCAGAATTGTATCCACTAGCTTCTAGCTAGCCTCCAAGGAGTGCCAGTGAGAGCTCTGACCCTTCTCCCTGTCCTGTCTCCCTGTGTATCCCTAATGGCTGAATTACTTTCTCTTTATTGTTTGTTTTCTTTTTTCAGCAGTGCGGCCACTTAGCATGTCTCACAGTTTTGACTTGTCAGGTAAAAAAAAAAAAAAAAGCACTTTCACACCTGACATGGGCTGTGTGGTTTCTGTGAATCACATTCATTTGTCTGCTTGTTTAGACATGTCAGAAAAGAAAATTGAAAAGCTTTCTTCTAAGCTGTGGTCAGTAAAATAAAGTAGCCTACCTATTTCAAAACAGTACACCTAATTAGAACCACAGTGAATGTGCAGCCTCCCAGAAGAGCTGTGCTGCCCCAGGCAGGCTGTGAATATGGCTGCCCAGCATGTGGTAGCTCTCACTGGGTCAGACCTTTTCTGTAAGGAAACAGAAAAACAAAACAAAACAAAAAAACTGTAAAGAAACTGTGCCCTGTTCTTTAAAACACTGAGATCCTCAGTGGGCAGAAATAGCCTTCTGTTCCCCTCTGCTTAATGGGTAGAACCTGTCATTCATGGCTCTGTGCTGGTCACAGATGATCACTGTCAGGGCCTCCTCTGATGTGTGCCCTAAGTTTACAGTGTGTTTTACAATTTCTGTTTAGTACTCTGGGATAGTGGTTCAATGAATAACTGAAAATGGTTATATTTGATTATAAAACTAGATCTGTTTAAAATAAAATTTAAATATATTTATGAGCAAATTTTCATAATTCTTATATTTACTTTTCAAATTTAAATTCTTAATTTCACAAGTCACTGTTTCAAGCTAAAATGAGGTAAGATGTATTTTTCCAGAATGTTCCTTGAAATGTTATGGAATACCTCTGAAGTTAAAAAGAATTGTTGGCATATAAATTCATGTTTAACAAGCCAGTGAGTTCTGGTATCTTTTTCTAGTGTCATTATTGAATATTTACTGTCTTCTAACTACAAGCTAGTTTCCACATGGTTTTTAATTTTCTGTTTATTTTTGTAGCTCTCAGGCATGACTTGAATATTTTGGTCTTCATTTAACTATCTTTGACTGACCACTAAAGAGCCTTTTCTATTTTCTTTATCCATTTAGCTAATTTTATTTATTTTAGGAACCATTCGTGCAGTGAACCTGTAAAAATTTTAGACTGGAAAATAAAACCAAAATTTTGAACCATGTGTGCTATGGCTAATCTCTAAAAGCTGGCCACTGTCACTCTGGATATCTGCTGCTCATGTTTCCATTGGTTGGATAAGGAGCAGAAGGCTACGTAAACATACGGATTGCAGTCTGGAGTGTGGCTGGTCAGGACAGTATGCATGCTCTCGCACATGATCTCTGGTGTTCTTACAGGCTCATGGTGGCCCTGTGTCAGGAAAAACTCAGGGCAGCACAGATTTGTTGTCCGTGTTCATCGTCTGCTGTAGTCTGTCTGTGCCGTGGTGGTGTTCCGTGTGGTTCCACAGAGCTTCCCTGTCGGCTGCTTGTGCTGCTTACGTGTTTTCATTGTTGCATTTGATGATAAGTGGGAAAGATTAATCCATTCTCAGTTTTAAAGACTAAAGTACATCTTCGTAGTAGAAAAATGAACAGACTAAGGAGTAAATAGTCCACACATGTAGCATAGATAACGACTTTGAACTTGAGTGCAGAGTGGGACATAAGCAAGTATATTCTTCTGTTCAAGGGTGTCTTAGAAATATTTCTTAGTGAAAATCCTAATAAGCCATTCGGCATCAATTGAGGTAAGTCTGGTTTATTTTTCCTTGCAAACATTAGCTATATAATCCATGTTCTTCTAGTCACATTTCCTCTAAGTAAATCAGCAGACACAAAGTTATTCAAGTATTTAATATGAAGGGTATGCCTTTTAGACTCTGAATTTAAATTATGGTAATTTCTAAAATCTCTATTTTATATCCTTAACATTTGCTCTGCTTATAGATATTATCATTTTTTTTCCTCAAGAAATTCTTCCTTTAAGAATTTGACTCTTGGGCTGGAGAGATGGCTCAGAGGATAAGAACACTGATTGCTCTTCCAGAGGTCCTGAGTTCAATTCCCGGCAACCACATGGTGGCTCACAACCATCTGTAATGAGATCTGGTGCCCTCTTCTGGTCTGCAGTCACACATGCTGTACACATAATAAATAAATAAATCTTTAAAAAAAAAAAAAAAAAAAGAATTTGACTCTTTTCAGGTATGGTAGAACATACCTTTAATCCCAGGAGGCCAGCCTGGTCTACAGAATGAGTTCTAGTACAGCCAGGGCTACAAAGAGAAACCCTGTCTCAAAAAAAGAGTATTACTTTTCTCACTTAATACAATGAAATAATAGTATTTATTATTTCAACAGTAAATACAAATAATCATATTCCTTAAAATGTATTGTGCCAAGTCTTTTTGTTGGGGGGGTGCTGAGGACCAAACCCAAGGCCTTGTGCTTGCTAGGCAAGCATTCTACCACTGAGCTAAATCCCCAACCCCTGTGCCAAGTCTTATAGGAAATGAGACTTGCACAGTGTCTAGTCTTGGAGCCCACCGGAAGCCTCCTGGCAGAACTTTTTACCAGTCACATTCCCCTCAAAGCTTTGAACTTCCTACATCTCTGTCAGTGAGCCATAGGACAGCTGCTGGTCTCAGCATATTGTTCAGGGAATCATCAAGCCATCGGAAAGCTTCTCCTGTCCCCTACGTTGACAATGAATTGAACCCAGGGCAGCCTTTGTCATTTAGTGGCTTTTCCTAAATTTCAGTGCATATGTTATTTTGCCAAGTTGTGTCTGTGTGGGGGACTAATGTGGCTTGAATTCCCAGAGTACTGTACAGGGTGGGCAAGTGCTAAGCCACCTGGTTACATCCCTAGCTCTTTACTTTTTTTTTTTTTTTTTTTAAGTGTGTTTTGTTTTGTTTGTTGAGACAGGGTCTCACGTGGCTCAGGCTGATTCACACTTGCTGTATAGCCAGGGATGACCTCTGACCCTCCTGCCTTCACTTCTGAGCACTGAGATTACAGGGAATACTAGCATGCCTGAGTTTATGTGTGCTGGGCCTTGAACCCAGTGCCTGTGCATGCTAAACAAGCACTTTCCCAATGGAGTCTCTTTGTTTGAAGCAGGGTTTCTCAGGCTTGCTTTGAGTTTGCTTGTATCCCAAGCAGACCTTGATCACTGAACATGGCAATTCTCCTGCCTCAGCCTCCCAAGTGCTGGGATTGCAGGCATGCACCACCATACCAGGCTTTGGTTTTTGCCAGTTGTATTAGTTAGGATTCTATAGAGAAACAGAGCTGGTAGAATGAATTATATACATAATATATATTATATGTAGATAACATACACAAATATGAATTAATAGAGTGTTTTAGCTTACAAGTTGTGGTCCGATTATCCCAACAATGGCTGTCTGCTGTCTCATGTCGGAATATCCAAAAATCTAAAGTTGTTTGGTCCAAGAGGCTGGATGTCTCAGATGGTCTTCAGTATATCAGTGAGGGAATGAACTTGCCAGTGAGAGTGAAAGCAAACAGGCACAGAGCAAGCTCTTCCTTCTTCTTCTGTGCCCTCATGTAGGCTGCCACCAGAAGGTGTGGCCCAGTTAAGGTGGATCTTCCCACCCAAAAAGATCAGAATTTAGGGTGGGTCTTCCCGCTTCTAATGACTTAATTAAGAAAAATCCCTCACAGGTGTGCCCAGCTGCTTGGGTTTTGGTTAATTCCAGATGTAGTCAAGTTAACAGCCAAGAATAGCCATCACACCAACACTATTTAAATATTTTTAATCTAAATGATAGTAACACAATTTAAAACTTGTAATCTACCCTGGATCTGAAGAGATGGCTCAGTGGTTGAGGGGACTAATGGGTCACTCTTCTAGAGGACCTAGGTTCTATTTCCAGCACCTGAATGGCAGCTCACAACCATCTGTAATTTTGGTTCCGGGGGAATCTAACAACCACTTCTGCTCTATACAGGTGCATATCTGATGTACATCCATACATGTAGGCAAAACTCTCGTACACATAAAATAAAAATAAATATTTTTTTAAAAATTAATCTACCTTAAATGACTTCTGAATTTTCTTAAGCAGTAACATGAACAAAAAAAATGTAGGTGTGGGGACAGGAGAGGTGGCTCAGAGGTTAAGAGCACCGACTGCTCTTCCAGAGGTCCTGAGTTCAATTCCCAGCACCCACATGGTGGCTCACAAGCATCTGTAATGAGATCTGGTGCCCTCTTCCATATACATAATAAATAAATAAATAAATAAATAAATAAATAATAAATAAATCTTTTTTTAAAAATGTAGGTGTGATGTAATAGTTGCATTTTTTTTTTAACAGGATAGTAAATGAATATGTAGCCAGTTAAATCTCTTTGCCTTGACATTGTGAGCCCAGTCTTGGGGGCTGGGTTCATTCTTGTTGCTCACCCTCTTTGTGGGAGGCGAGTTGTCTCCCTAGCTTCTGCTGGAGCACGAGTGGCTGAGGAGGCACATGAATGTGCACAGTTCGTTTTTTCTTTCATATAGTTCTTTATTTTGGTTTTGTGTTTGTGTTTGTTTTGAAACAGGGTCTTACTGTGTAGCCCTGGCTACACTAGAACTCACTATGTAGAGCAGGCTGGCCTTGAACTCAGAGAGATCCTCCTGCCTCTGCCTCCTGAGTGCTGGGACTGTAAGTGGACTCTTTAAGATCACATTAAACACTTACTACCTTTTTCTTTTTTCCCTTTTTGTTATTAGTTTTTGGTTGGTTGGTTGGTTTGGAAACAGGCTCTTACTCTCTGGCCCAGGCTAGTCTCCTGACAATCCTCCTGCCTTAACCTCTCAAGTGCTGGGATCACAGCAGTGAGCTACCAAGCCTGGCTTCTGTTGTCTTGAATAGAAGTTAATCTTCTACCATCTTTTGTCTTCTGGAAAACTTATAAAATACTTTTCTAAAGTACCTTTCCCTGTATGTCCTTATGAAAGGGTTATTTAATGATTTTTACCTTTATAATTTGTATAAAATCTTGCTACCTTTTCCATTTTCCCCTTTTACTTTATACAACCAATTTGTCTTAGCTACTTAATACCTGGGGTGGTAATAACAAAGTAAATAAATATGTGGACACAGTGTCAGGTTCTCTTCATTAACTCTTTCCCCAGTCAATTCTAATAGTGTGGACCTGTGATCCCAGCATCCGGAAGACAGGCAGGAAGATAGCCTACATATCAAGCCAGGGCTCAAAAAATTTTTTTTATTATAAATCATTAAGCCCTGTCTTCTCCCTTTTCTTCTCTTCTCTCTCCTCTTGTTCCTTCAATCCTCCCATCTTTTCTAGCCTATTCAAATCTTCTACAATTTTTGAAGGGCCTGTTCTCTGGCCTTCCTGATCTATAAAAATCATAAAATTATTACTATTCTTTTTCTTTTCTTTTTTGAGACAGAGTTTCTTTGTGTAGCCTTGGCTGTCCCAGAACTAGCTCTCTAGACCAGGCTGGCCTCAAACTCACAGAGATCCACCTGACTCTGCCTCCCGAGTGCTGGGATTAAAGACGTGCATCACCACTGCCCGGCCATTAAATTATTTTATGTCCTAGTAGATGGCCTGCTACTTGCAATGTATCCCAGGCTATCAAGCTCATAGTAAGTCTTCCTGCCTTAGCCTTGTGTATTACAAACGTTTACCACCACACCTGGCCAGAAATTGTAAATATTAAATAAGAATATATCATTGTAATAGGAAGTGATATATATTGTTCCTTTAAATAATGTCAAGGAAAATGTAAGAATACATTTATAAGGGGGCTAGAGATATAGCTCGCTTGGTAGAATACTAGCCTAGCATGTACAAAGCCCTGGGTAAGATCCTAGCATCATAAAAACTAAGCATGGGGGTGCACATTTAATCCCAGCACAAGAAGTGGAGGCAGGAGGATCAGAAGATGATCCTTCTCAGCTACATAGTGAGTTCAAGGCCAGCCTAGTATACATTAGACCCCATTTAATAAAAGTTAATAAGAACATACTTAAATACTGAGTGTTTTCTACTTCGGGGATATAGATATCACTTGTTGAGAGGAAAATAACCTCCAATTACAATGCTTTCGCCTCCCAAAGTCTTTCTCAGTTTAGTGTCTAGAAGGCCCTTTACCCAACAAAAGCTTCATCGATGATTCTGTATACAAAGAGCAGGTGATTGCTCTGGTCTGCACATTAAATTATGCACGGATTGCCACGTTTTCACTTTTCCAGTTTTATAGTTAGCTATTGTGGGAGACCAGCCCCCATACTTATTTACCCGAGGAACTCTTGAGGAGTGAGGGATAAGAGACTTAGTTAGAAATAGAGCAGAGAAAAAACACAGGATACACTCCGGTGGGCCTGGATCCTTATCCACTGGCCCAGAACTTTATTCGAAGGGTTTTTTATAACAATGCCAAGGAGTGGATCAAAAGACCTCCCCGTTGCTAGTTAGACCCTTACAAACACCTGGTACTCAGGCCCGTGGTCCAATCAACCTCTTACACAGTCCCGCTAGGTACAGCCACTAGAAAACCTAGTGGGCTCCAACAAGCTGTCTGAGGTAATCCATGTTAAGTCTTTGTTTGAAATGTCAAGAAAATCAATTCCGCTTTCATGGGAGGATTCCAGGTTAGAGTACCAAAAAGCAGGCCTTGGGAATCAGCTCTGGCCCACACCACTGTCAGTCAAGGGCTTGGGTTACTTAGAAGGAGAGCTGAAACCAGTGTTAGATTGACTAACATAGGCTAACATTGACTGTACTAGGCCCAGTATGTCAGTCACAGTTACTTACCAGCTTAATCCTCACAACCAGCTACATCTGTACTCCTCTGCTTTACAGGGGAGGAACCGGAGGTTAGAGAGCTTACCCAGACATCTAGCAGTCGAGGTAGACTTTGAGCCCAGTCTCTGTTATACCAGCTGTATACTGCTGTGTTTTCTCATTCAGATGTGAGCCCTTAATAATTTAAATCTGATGTGTTGAGGAGATGTGCCCCAGATTCTTTGTGCTTACATAAACGTGTTTATAGGAGTATAGATCTTAGCTTCCCTGATTTTTAGGACAAGACATTTTTAGATCTTACCCTAGGGAGACAGTGTGTGCTGTGTCTTTCCTCTACCCACCACTGGCCCCGTAGCATGAGTACAGCCAGCTTCTGTAAGCCTCAGTTTATTTCACTTATCTAGGATTTCTCCCAACTCTGAATTCTAAACTACAAATGTGGATATACAGTTATTCATTTTAAATTTTCCTGTTATCTGACAATAGCTTTAACAAATGTTCCATATGCACAGGCATGGCATCACTATACTGAGCCTTTGTGTTTTATTTGTGTGACATGGAAATGCTGTCACCTGGTTGTGCTTCTAACACAGATTACCTTTCCTGGCTTAAGAAAAGGTAAGCTTTTGCCTTTCTCTTACTAGATGTCACTACCCCAGAATCTCCAAAGAATGTTGGGGAATCATCTATGGTGAATGGAGGCTTAACATCTCAAACAAAAGAAAATGGGGTAGGTGCTGCCCTGCAAGGGCCTGCACAGCGGAAGAAGCTTCTCAAAGCCCCGACCCTGGCTGAGCTAGACAGCTCTGACTCTGAGGTAAGGATGCCAGGCATGAAGAGGCCCTCTGATCCTGTGTCGTTCCCCTCCCCCACACCCACACTTTCTTGAGCTCCTTCCTCATCTCTTCATGTTTCAGTCAGTAAGATTGAAGTTAACGTGGCTAGCAGGAAGGATAGTTACTATTGTTACTACAGACCAGTGTAGTGGATATGCTCAGGAAAGAGCTACTGAAACTGAGATCTATAGTCTTAGATTCTAAGTAGGAGTAAGAAAGTCAACAACCTTAAAACTCATATGACTGTCATCTTTGTTTTGAGAAGGAGAAAATATAGTTGAGACAGTTTCTGTAGGTTCTTCTCCCTCTGCAGCACACACAGACACGTGTAGGATGGTTCTTTCTGTAATTGTAATGCCAACAAACTTCAAGAAGAGAGCTGTTTGCCCTGGAGTTTTTGCTTTACTCTGTGCCCTTCAGGGGAGAACATTCATCTGCTCAGTTTACACACATCCATGCTGCACCTCCTCCATCTGCTGCGCTACGGAGTATCAGAATGGCCTGTTGCTGCTTGCTAGATCTCCACTGCCTGGCCCTAACTTAGACTCTTCCACTCTTCTCCATGGTGCATGGGCACACCTCCATCATTGTCATTGCTGGCTCCATCTTCCCATGTCCATCTGAGTTACAAATTACTACTTACTTCTTTTATTTTTCACCATCTCTGCCACCATCCAAAACAATACCAATAATATGGTTTCTCTACCATTTTTTTCCCAACATGGGTAGGGAGATGGTCCAGTGGGTAAGAGTGTTTGCTGTGCAAGCAGGAGGAACTGAGTTCAAATCCCAGCACCTAAGCAAAAAGTGGGATATGGATGCACCTATGCCTGTAGCCCCAGCACTGTCGGGGTATGGAGACAAAAGGATCACTGGCGCTTGCTGGCTGTCAACTTGGCTCCAGGTTCAGAGAGAGACCCTGTCTCAAGGGAAGAAGGCAGAGAGTGATACCATCAGATAACAGACATCCTTCTCTGGCTTCTTTGAAGACATGTGTGTACTTGTGCAATCAAGTACAAATGCGCACACACACACCCACACACACACACACACCCCTGTTACTGACATCAGTGTATTACTGTCTCACCTGTTTTTCTTTGTAAGCTTCCCAAATGACACCCAGCACAGATCTTTTATCACCCCTCCTTGAATGCTTTGGAAGGCTCCCATCCCATACAGCAGATACTTCAGGTTTCCTAAGGATATAGATGTCAGAGAGCCGCCCCCCATCCCCTCTGTGAGATGCTTGTGACCTATTATCGGTTAGAGTACTAAGCAAGCACTTAGGTGCCAAGAAGAGAAGTGAATGTTGGTGCCTTTGTCACTAAATGCTGGATAAAGTAACTTTAGTCAGTAATAGGAGAAACTACAGGGTTATGGAACGAAGTAAATGACCTTAGACAAGGGCCTAGAATTAAGCGCATTTCTCTTCTTGTGTTTATTTTTAAATTAGTGGGGTTTCTTAGTTTTGGTTTTTTGAGACAGGGTTTCTCTGTGTAACAGCCCTGACTGTCCTGGAACTCACTTTGTAAACCAGGCTGGCCTCAAACTCACTGAGATCAGCCTGCTTCTACCTCCCAAGTGCTGGGATTAAAGGCGTGCGCCACCAGCACTTGGCCTTAAATTGGTGTTTTTAAGTATAGTCAAATGTATGTCCCAGAGTGCTTTGTGTTCATTTTTATATAAAAATTTTATGACTTCTGTAGCTAGAGTTTTCCTGCCTGGCCCACAGTCAGGACAAATCTCTCTCACCTGCCAGTCCCACAGCCGTCAGACCCAACCAAGTAAACACAGAGACTTATATTGGTTACAAACTGTATGGCCGTGGCAGGCTTCTTGCTAACTGTTCTTACAGCTTAAATTAATCCATTTCTATTAATCTATACCTTGCCACGTGGCTTGTGGCTTACCGGTACTTTACATCTTCCTTGTCCTGATGGCGGCTGGCAGTGTCTCCCCAACCCAGCTTCCTGTTCTCTCAATTCTCCTCTCTGTTAGTCCCACCTATACTTCCTGCCTGGCCACTGACCAATCAGTGATTTATTCATTGACCAATCAGCAACACATTTGACATACAGACCATCCCACAGCAGACTTCTAATTACATTAAATCTTTAGTGTTTAGAAAGCACAGATATGCAGATGGCTTATTCTAATCAGCTGTTTTTCACACTGGGACTTTGTATTATGTTGTCCAAGTTTCTGTTGATGGGGCTGGAGAGATGGAGCAGCAATTAGGAGGGCTTGCTGCATACTCACAAATACTGGAGTTCAGGTCCCAGTGACCACATGACAAGCCAAGTATCCCACATATGTTTGTGGCTGGGGCTCTAGCTCCAAATGGGGCAGAGAACAGAGACAGGAGGATTTCTGGGCTTGTTGGCTTCCCCAGGTTCAAAAAGAGACTTTGCCTGTGTGGGGACACACTGAGGGGACATGTCTTGAATCCTCTTATACACACATAAATATTTTTTGTAAAAGCTTCTATTGATGAAACACAACTTTAATTTAATATTGGTAGATAAATTGTATTCATCCGCCAGGTGGTGGTGCACACCTTTAATCCCAGCACTCAGGAGGCAGAGCCAGGCCGATCTCTGTGAGTTCGAGGCCAGCCTGGTCTACAAAACGAGATCCAGGACAGGCTCCAAAGCTACACGGAGAAACCCTGTCTCAGGAGGGAAAAATTGTATTTATCCTAAACATCTCTCTCAACATCAGCTACTTCCAGACTATCTTTTACCTGATTAAAGCCGATATATATATATCGTAAAAGCAAGATACTTACACAAGTAATGAATGAAACACCTGGTTAATAGTGAGAAACAGTGAAGACAGTCCTCCACATGGTACCTGCCCTCTGAGTGTGTGGAGAGAACACTGGCCCAAGCATTTCATCTTGTTAACTGTCAGTGTGTCCTCACGTGCTGAGGTGTCAGTCCATTCCTGCATCCTCCATTTGGTGAGACGGTCAGTCCTTTTATCCTCTAGCAGGGCGGTCAGCCACCTGATGATGTCAGTCTTCTGGGTCCAGAGCTTGGGGCTCTTCCCCAGAAATATGAAGCAAGGAACAAAGTTTCCTAATTTGGGAGATGGTTATCCCCCTATTCCTCTTTTAATTTCTGATGTCAGGAAACCCCTAGACCAACACTGATTGCTTGACTTGCTCCTCTTTGCTTTCTAATAGTGGCCATAAATGCAAAGGTGTTAGGTGTTTCCCATATCACACAGAAGACTCTATTCACTTTGTCTGATAAATTTTGTTCCCCACGTCATGTATTCTTCCACTCTTTGTTTCTTTTTCACCAAATTCTTCTTTTTCCTCAGTTTTTTTTTTCCATTCAGAGTTTCCATTATTGAATGTCTTCACTAAGTATCAAATGCAGAGGCAGACGTGTAATGGCATCAACGTTCCAATTGCTTCTAATTTAAATGGGAATTAAAAGCATGCCTGATGTGACACATGTTTGTCAGGCAGAAGTTCCGAGACTGAAGATCTGGAAGGACTAGGGAAGCCTCAGTACTGGTTATGTGCCTGTAATAGGCAGGCAGGGTCCTTCCCTGTTTCTGTGTGATGGTGGTCTTGCCGGGCCCTGGCATGCGCATGGAGTTCTCACTAGCCAGACTCATCATGCACACATCTCCTCATCCCGTCTATGTCTGTGTCTCTGCTGGCTCTGCTGACTAGCTGAGGGTGTACAGTGAACAAGTAGAAGTCTCAAGAAGGGAGGAGAGGCCCATCTTCTCCCTCCTCCGTTCCTCCCTCCATCCCTCTATCTCTCCCTTCTCCTCCTGTTTCTTCTTCTTCCCTACCCACTTACTTTTCCAGCTTACCTGAACATTCCCTCCCATCTTGAGAAGCATACAGATCCCTGGCTTTTAAACACCAAAAGGTTTTGTTGTTGTTGTTTGTCTGTTTGTTTTTTCCAAGACAGGGTTTCTCTGTGTAGCTTTGGAGCCTATCCTGAAACTCGCTTTGTAGACCAGGCTGGTCTCGAACTCACAGAGATCTGCCTGCCTCTGCCTCCCGAGTGCTGGGATTAAAGGTGTGCACCACCGCTGCCCGGCCCAAAACATATTTTTACATCAGATGCACACAGAAGTATAATGTCCAAAAGCCAGAAATGGAATGGGAACTGCAGCTTAGTCCAGCCCGCACTAGCACCTCATCTCTCAGGACCTCATGGAACACTGGGAAGTTCATTTCCGTTAGAAAAGCAAGTCTTAGGGCTGAGCCCAGTGGATAAAGCTCTTGTTCTGGTTTGCTTTCCAGTTGCTGTGGCAAACACCATGCTCCAAAGTAACATGGGTTAGAATGGGTTTATCAGCCTATAGATGACAGTCCACCATTAAGGGAATCCAAGGCAGGCGCTCACGGCAGGCCCTGAAGGCAGGAAGCACAGCAGAGATCCTGAAGGCATGCTGCTTACTGGCTTGATCTCCCCGCCCTGGCCCATCACTTTCATCCCTAATTTTAGACCCCTTGTAGTTTGCCTGGAGCCTTTGACATTGTCATTTGGTGTCTCATGTTAAAGTGCCTGTCTACTAGGGTGTTATCCAGTAGCTCAGGATCTGAAGAAGTGTACGAATTTGCTGTTTCAGGAGGAAACCCTGCACAAGTCCACCAGCAGCAGCAGTGCGTCTCCCTCCCTCTATGAGGATCCGGTACTGGAGGCCATGTGCACAAGGAAGAGTAAGTGCATACCTTACAGAACACCTGACCCAGAGCAAGGGCCACCATGCTCTGTCGTCATTGGGGTAGAGAACTAACCCTGTACGTCATGTCAGGAGCAGACAGGCTCGGGTGCCTTCCCAATTAGTAACTGCCTGGTCAGTTAATAGATCAGTCAGCAGAGTGTGTGTGTGTGTGTGTGTGTGTGTGTGTGTGTGTGTGTGTGTGTGTGTGCACTTTTTAGATTAATGGCCTCCTAGTCTGAATTTAAGCTCAGAAGCACTAAATAACCATATTTGTTCCTTACCTGCCGTGTGTAACATACGTACAGCCATGCCCAATACATGTATAGGTAGTAAAAACACTTTTATAGCTATTGGGCAGGGGATTCTGAATACAGTGTCTAAAATTAAGAGATTTCTAAAGGCTTTTAGTAATGTGAAATCATTAAGGGTTAGAAATTAATTCATTGAGTCAAGTGGTGGTGGCTCATGACTTTAATCCCAGCACTCAGGAGGCAGAGGCAGGGTGGATCTCTGTGAGTTCGAAGCCAGCCTGCTCTGCAGAGTGAGTTCCAGAACACCCAGGGATGTTACACAGAGAAACTTTCTCTGGGGGGGTGGGGAGATATTCTTAGAGAATAGAGAGATGGCTCAGTAGTTAAGAGTACTTGCTGCTCTTGCAGTGGATCTAGGTTAGGCAGCTTACAATTATCTATAACTCCGTCTCTTTGGCCCCCTTAGGCACCAGGCACACACATGGTGTACATAAAAACTCGCAGGCAAAATACTCTCACACATAACATAGAAACAAATCCTATTTGCGTATTTATTTATTTATTTTGTTTTGTTTTGTTTTTTGTTTTTTTCCTAGACAAGGTTTCTCTGTATAGCCCTGACTGACCTGGAACTCACTCTGTAGATCAGGCTAGCCTTAAACTCACAGGGATCCACCTGCCTCTGCCTCCTGAGTGCTGGGATTAAAGGCCCATGCCAATATCACCCAACTAAATCTTTTTTTTTTTTTTTTTTTTTTTTAAGATATTCTTAAAATATTGGCTTGAGTTCTCATGTTCTTTTGGAACAGGGAGGATCTCTTGTACTGCAGGGTGGCTTTAATTAAACTCTTAATCCTCCTGCCTCTCCTTCCCAAGTGCTGGGATTACATAGCATTTCAGTTGCTTGAACAGATTATTTAAAAACAATAGGGGGCAGGCAAGATGACTCAGGGTAAAAATACTTGCCATGCAAGCCTGATCACTGAGTTCTGTCCTCATGGTGAAAGACAACAACTGACTGTTAAAAGTTGTCCTCTGACTTTGCCATGTGCATTGTTACAGAGTGCACATGTGTAGTCACATCACACACACACTCTCTCTCACACACACACACACACACACACACACACACACAAGTCAAAGCTGGCTTTGGGGGTTGGCCAGGCCCATTAAACTTCACAGAGGCCCTGGAGCCGGCGCTTTAGCTTAGTTCTAAAGTACTGACTGCCTTAGCATACACAAAGCCCAAGATTTGAACTCCAGCACTGAACAAAACCAGGTATGGTGGTGCAAGCATGTAACCAACACTCAGGAGGTAGAGCTGATAGAATTAGAGCAGCAGTTTGGGGTCATCCTCAGCCATGTAGCAGATTTGAGGCCAGCCTGGACTACATGAGATCCTGACTCAAAATAAATAAGTGAATAAATGAATACTACAGAGCCGCCATCCAATTGTGTAATGAATTTCAGTATCATTCTTGACTGGATATGGCGTTTTTCATTTGCCACTGTAGTTTGCCTTCATGGGATAATCTAAGGCCGTGGATCCCACTCAACTCTGTTGACTCTTACTCTCTGCCCACTGCGTGAAGCAGCCTGCTTTGCAAGTAGTGTAGGAGGAAGTGATAAATAGAACTGTGACCGTGTAGCTTACTTCTGATATCCTTATTCCTTCACATAGTGAATCCAGAGCCAGTCATAGTAAAGATTATCCTGAACATTGCTAGTCAGTATTGGGGGTACAGCTCAGAGACTAAATGCTTGCTGGCAGGCCCAGGAATGTAAAACTTCGGTTCACTTGAATTTTAATATAGTTGGGTTTCTTTTGGGCCATACAGAATATATGTATTTCTGTGGGGTTTTTTGTTTGTTTGGTTGATGTTGATTGAATTTTAAATGGTCTTTTGATAAAACAAACAAAACACAGTGCCAGATATTGGGGTAGATGCTAAAAGATCAGCGAGACAAAGGAACAAACCACAGCTACTTCTCACCTCAACAACTCCATGAATCCTCTGACTGAATGTCTCTGAGTCCTCAGCCAAAAAGGGCTCTAGCCGAAAAGGCTTTAACTGAAAAGCCTTTATTTAGTTCCTGTCTCCTCATGCCTTTCTCTGCCCAGCCATATTACTTCCTTCCTAGTGCTGGGATTAAAGGCGTGTGATTCCCAAGTACAGGGATTAAAGGTGTGTGCCACCATTGCCTAGCATCTGTGTTTAATCTAGTGGCTTGTTCTATTCTCTGATCTTCAGGCAGATTTTATTAGGGTACACAATATATCACCAAAGGTTGGTTGGTTTTTCAAGACAGAGCTTCTCTATGTAGCTCTGGCTGTCCTGGAACTAGCTCTGTAGACCAGGGTGGCCTCGAACTCAGAAATCTGCCTGCCTCTCCCTCCCAAGTGCTGGGATTAAAGGTGTGTGCCACCATGCCCAACTATTTCTGTGTTTTTAAAATAGGAACAGAGAGGTCAGTTGTAAGGCTTATGGAAAGTAAAATGAGGTCATTTGCACATACAGATCTTTTTTTAGCTTTGGAGCCTTTCCTGTAACTCACTCTGTAGGCCAGGCTGGCCTCAAACTCACAGAGATCCATCTGCCTCCCGAGTGCTGTGATTAAAGACGTGTGCCACCACCGCCCGGCTTTTTTTTTGGGGGGGGGGGCCCACATACAGATCTTAAGGCTAATCATAATGTGTTTTAATGTGAACTTGAATGGATAGTAAAAGCATAGAACTTTTTCCCCATTTTCCTTGCTGTTTCTGTAGGAAGTTTATCTAGAAACAACTTTTGGAACAGTTCTGTCTCTTTCCTCTGAGCTGCCGTCTTAAAAATAGCTCTCCACTGAAATAAGTCCTTCATCTTTGAATACCATGATGTCGCACAGTGCAAAAGGTTATCTGTTGGAAAATTCAGAATCCAAGATTTTATTTTTTAAGAGAGTTCATTTGTTTGGTTAAATCTTTAGAGCCTCCGAAATTCTTGCCCATCTCGTCAACACCCCAGCCAGAGAGACGGCAACCACCCCAGAGGCGCCATTCCATTGAAAAGGAAACACCCACGAATGTGAGGCAGTTTCTGCCGCCGTCCAGGCAGAGCTCACGCTCTCTTGTAAGTACCAAAGGATGAACAGAGATGTCTAGGGAGGAATAGTAAGCTTGTTTTCAAAATGAAAAGGAGAAAAGCCCACACAGGTTAGCGTGAACTTTAACATCTATGTGCTTAATACCTAGAGAAAGTGGGCTCTGGCTACACTTGACCAGTCTTTGGTTTATTTTGAGTACTCATTTTCAAAAGCTTTGTTAACGAGTTATTATTAAAGAAATGCTTTTTTTTCTCTTAGAGGATATTAATCCACTCAAAGTTGTCAAAAAGTTCTCAGCGTAATCTGACTGAGTAGATTGTTTTGTCTGAGCGAAAGAGGATGAGCTGTCCCTTGCTCTTAGTGTGTCTACAGTGCATGCCAGAGCGGCTGTCTCAGCTGTTTAACAGCGGCTAACCGTTCCTTTCAGTGGGGTAGCACACACAGAAAAGTTCATTGATCTAGCAACAGACGCCTGCAGACATCCTTTTGGTTTCCCTCATGAGCTTCCAAAATACAGGAAGATGCAAGGGGTCCGCCAACATTCCACCCACAGTCTAATACAGCAGTTCTGAACTTGTGGGTCACGATCCCTTTGTGGTCGCATATCAGATATTCTGCATGTTAGATATTTACATTACGATTCATAACAGTAGCAAAATTACAGGTATGAAGTAGCAACAAAATAATTTTATGGTTGGGGGTCACCACAACATGAGGAACTGTATTAAAGGGTCACAGTATTAGGAAGGGTGACCACTGAACTAATAGCTAATGTTTTCTTTCAAATACTCAAGAATAAAAGTCACATGAACATGCTTACGGCTCCATCTTTACCTGTAATGAGTCATAAGTGTTTCAAATGAGACAGCAAACAAATGTCCTTCCTTCAAGGAAGGGAAACAGTGGTCAGTATAGTTGGGAAGTGTGAGCAGGGCTTAGAGTCTGGCATTTGATGTCACCTCTATTCCAAAATAATTCAATTAAAGAATTCATGGGGTGATGGCCATTTTTTGATGAGATTTTTCTAACTTCTACATAGTCACTGAACCACTGCTCTTGTCTGACATAGTGTATGCTTGGTAATGCTAACATTTAGAGGGTCACCACAAGTTCAAGGCCAGCCTGAGGTACATAGTGAGTTCCAGACCAACCTGGGCTATAGAATAAGAACCTGTTTCAAAGACAGAAACTACTCTGTGGTGAAATGGAGCCTTGTTAATGGCCTATCAGCAGGAAAATAACTCAGCAAAATAAGCTCAGATTTAAAATCCAAAAGCTGTTAACCAGTGTGGACAAATTTTTACTTTACTAAAATACACAGGTGGATGTGATGGTGCATACCTGTAATGTGTGTACCACTTTGGAAGGCAAAGAAGATCAGAAGTTGAAGGTCACCCTTGAGGTCAGCCTCCTGGGTTCCATGAGACCCTGTCTCCCTGCCCGCCCGCCCACCCCCCACCCCCACCCCCACCCCCGCCAAAAAAAGAAAATTATGAAGCTAAAGGAGCTTTAGATTACAACAAAGTAGTTTGCCCTCATAACATAAATGACACCAAGCCCTGCAGCCACGTGCAGGCCACACAAAGACTGTTAGCTGATGGAGGTGAACTGTGGCTTATGCTTGGTTGGACTGTGAGCTCCTGGTGGAGAAGGAGAAAAAAAAAGAAAACTGTATGCACTCCCTGAGGAGGGAGGGTCTTGGGAACAGGCAGTGAGAAGGGGGCCCTGGCCCACACAGATAGTGAAGGTTAAAAGGCAGGGAAGGAGGTCATGCTGGGGCCAGCTCCTTAAGTGCACCGAGGCACCAGCTGAGAGGAAGAAGGCCTCCTCCACACAGTAGCCTTTCTCACTAGTAGCTTCTCATTGGTAGCTTGGCGAATCTGTAGAGATCACTGACGGTGAAGTCCTCTAGTTCAGTAAATGATGTTCTTAAAGGCGTAGTCGTGGAAAATGGTAACTGCACTATAGAAAAGAAGGAATAGTTTCGTGTTTATCTCTTCAACTGAAAATGGCAGGATTGTCTTTGCTGTTAATAAAGTTTATTTTATTATGTTGGAATACTTTTTCATCATTTGGTCAAATTACTAATGTTGATTGCCCATCCAAGGGAAACGCAGTTGTCTTTAAGGACCTTCCCAGGGCAGGGGCAGGTGGGCTGTGGACACAGGAGCCAGGAACTCTACCCTGCATCTCAACCAGCCTCATTTGAGAGAATCAGAGTGCTCACAGCTCACAGACCACCGAGTTGGAACAGCCCTAAGTGTCTGCTGAGTGACCCTCGGTGTGGCTTCCTGGTTGATTCCTGACGTGGAAAAATGAATGGGATGTCAGCATGGACCATTGCCATCCACGTGTTGTTTTGTTGTGTTTTTCTTTGACAGTCTGTAATTGATGTTTGTAGGTCACTTGTTCAGCATTTTCTCCTTTTCTTTCCCCCTGCTGTTTTCTTTTTCCCTTCCATCGTTCAGGTTCCTAGGATAACCAGTGTATGGCCCAGGACGCCTTTCCGACCACTTTTCTCTACCATACAAACAGCTTCTCTGCTGAGCTCTCATCCTTTTGAAGCAGCCATGTTTGGGGTAGCAGGGGCTATGTATTATCTGTTTGAGAGAGCTTTTACCAGCAGGTGGAAACCCTCAAAGGTTGGCCTCTTTCTGCTGGTTCTGGGATCCCTTACTCTCTCTCTGTGTCTCTGACGGTGATACCTCAGCTACTGCACTCTGAGAATTAACCGCTCACATGGGCACTTTGCTTTTGATCGCTGATGGCAAGCTTGTGTAGGAGTCTAGATCATGCTGTGATCTCACTGGAGGAGAAAGTCGCTGAAAGGACAACAGACTCAAAATGCAGCATCAGCTAGCAAGCCCGTGGGGGTTTGCTCTGGGAGTGACTCACTGTCAGCAGGGCATTGCTTCCTCCTGATTCCTGTGCAAACGCCCTTGTGAAGGCCAAGTGGTCTCCCGCCACTGGAGCCTGGGAAGGGCTGATTGCTCACACAGCTGGCAAACCCTGATGGTCACCATGGACAGACAGCCTGCTCCACCTGTAGAGGAGCAGGTGCATTCCTGATGTTTGTTTACACTCCATCACCAGCTCCGTGGCCACATGCCCAGCCCCCTCCAGAAAGAGAAGTGGGTTTTTTCCTTTTACCGATAGCTATTCAAAACGTTTGTTTACTATTTCTCATTTTATCACTTTTGGGGGATTTGTTTTCCTCACAGAATAATATATTACTATCATTTGAATGTTTTTGAAAGACCATATTGACTCCTTCACCCCTTCCCCAATGGTAGAGAGCAGCAGGGGCCTGGTTCTTCAAGGATCTGTGTTATGAAACAAGCCCATGACAGACAAGCAGCTGGGTTCTTTGTTACTCATCTGAATGTAAAGGACATAAGGCACAGTGAGCATGTTCCTAACGCTGTCATTTGTCACAAAAGCTCTGTGTCCCATCTTGTGTCCATCACTCCACCTGACTTCAGACTAGCCCCTTAGACAAAATAGGTGGCTCTTTAATTCCTCTTACTGCTACGTGTTGACATTTTATTATGAACACCCTCAAACAGAAATATCCACATGAAGTCCATAGACTGTTTCAAGCAAAAAGCAAGGGAGTTGGAGAGATGGCTCAGTGATTAGGAGCACTGACTGATCTTCCAGAGGTCCTGAGTTCAATTCCCAGCAACCACATGGTGGCTCACAACCATCCGTAATGAGATCTGGTGCCCTCTTCTGGTCTGCAGGCATACATGCAGGCAGAACACTGTATACATAATAACTAAATAAATCTTTTAAAAAATTTTCACTTTCAGTTTTTAAAATAGAATTTAAAGAGATGAGTGATTAAATGCAAGTCCTATTTTTTATTTAAATTGGCCTCCCTTTGGATAGTTTATAAACATCTGCTACTGGTATGTCTTAAGTTTCTTTTTAACTGAAGGCGTTATATAAAAGATCTGTATTCTTGGAGCCTGCAAAGTGGCCAAGCAGGTTGAGGTACTTGTTGCCTACCAAGCCTGTTAGCCTGAGTTCAATCTTCAGGACCTACATGATGGAAGGAGAGAAACACAAGTGGTCCTCTGGTGTGCACAGCCTCTGGTGTGCACTGTGGTGCACATGTGCCCCATGCCCACATGAGAATAGACAGACAGACAGACAGACCAATCTTCTCATTTCTCTGTGGCTCAGTAACTGATAACCAGAGTTTCACATTCTGCTCTCTAATTTCCATGCTGCCTCATTCTGACCCCTTTTGTCTGATTAAACTATAACCAGAATCTTCAGTAAAACTCAACTGGTGAGCATGTAAGAAAGCTGTGGCATGTCTGGCCCCATTGTCAAAGACTTGCTGCTTTCCCCCGTGTTTTGAGTTACTTTAGGACATAGAGCAAGAAGGGTGATGGAGTCAGGCTGGCCTAACCCAACCCACTGAACCCATGGCAGGAGACGGTACACAGGGTCATGTGGGCAAGGCATTCTCTTGTCTCAGGACCTGGGATGCTCCTCAGCTTGGAGCATAAAATCTGTTACAGTTTGATTTGGCTTTAGAGATTTTTGAATTAATACTGCCAAATGGAAAAACAATTAAAACTATTCTAGTCACAATGTTGCATTAAAGTCTTGTTGTCCTTTGGCAAGCTCCAGAGTTAAAACAATAGCATTTGACCTGATAGAAATTATTTTTCCCAAGGGGTAGTCTGGATGAAATTTTTAAAAAGAATTAAGAAAATAAGCACACCCCATGATTTCTTAGAGTGTTCTGTGAAGCACTGAATTTACAAGTGTGTTCAAAGCAGAAAGTTGAAGGTATCTTCAGAACAAGAAGCTGTTCTGCCACTTAGACTGCGGAGAGGGAGGCACAGCTGGGAGCTTGTTTTGTGTGGCAGTCTATCCTCAAGTGACAGCACCTCCCCGCCAGGGAGCTGCAGGACCCAGGGGTCCCAAGGCTTGCCTAGTTAGATTAGTACAGCATTTTGCTGCAGCTTAGCATTTTTGTCATAGTTAGCTATTAGCTACCTTTTATTAAATACTGGTAAAAAAAAAAAACAAAAAAACTTCTCCGACAAAAATTGAGCTAGAGAAATTATCAGAAGACCCATGTTCAGCCAGCACCACTAATTTAATAGTCCGCTGAAATGGCCTAACTTTCACAAAGGTGGCTCATTGGCCCTATGACACTGTTCTGTTCTCCAGGTAAAAAAAATAAGTACATATTGAGCACAGTGCTTAATCCTGAAATCTCTGAAAGCTGTTCCCACTCAAAGGGAAACTGTGATGAACGCCTCTTTTTGAATGCCCATTGTGAGCATCTCAGAGCAAATGACGCAATCTACTTCAGCAAACCCTAGCCCCCAACTACTGAGAAGTTCCTCATCTTAACGACTCAGTGGATTCTTTCCAAAGCGGTCTAAAGCAAACCCGGCCTTCCTAAGTTAGCTTAAGCAGATTCTCTGTTGAATTGAAGCAAAGTGAGCCAGACTAGTTTTTTAGTAAATGCTAATGTTTGTCAAATTTGCAACCTAGATTTATTTTTGTTTCTTTCTGATTGAAAGACAGAACTGAATGTTAAAACTCCATAAACTGACTGCCCTCATGGTCATGTGCTTTCTCATTTGGCTTATTTGGTTCCAGAATGCCTGGGAGCAGTGCCGTGGTGTGTGGGAGTGAATTGTAATGTGTGTGCTGAGAACATTGAGTTTCAGTGTCAAGGCACCACAATGGCCCCTTGAAGCCTGGCAGGGCCTGAGTGCATAGAGTCGTTCTGTCTTTCTCTTAGATCCACCAATCAACAGCACCGGATGGAGAAAGGATGGTTCGAGGCTCTTATTCAGTGGATCAGTTACATCAACATTTTTCACAGCTGTTTGTAAGGAGGCCATTAACATAAGAAGCCAACATAAATATTTATCATGCAAGGCTCTGTCTCCATCTGTGCTGACTGTGCATTCAGCAGTTGGTGAAAAGACCTGGGAGGCTGGAGCGATGGGCCTGGGAGGCTGTAAGCTGTCCGTGCTCCCACTTCCTGTTGCGGTTCCACTCCAAGTGTGTAGGGAGTTTTGAAAGTGTGCTGATGTAACTGATCACTCCGTAATGCTTGTCCGTATAAAGTACTAACCACCTTCACTTGGCTGTTCTGGGTACCACAAACCAGTTTTGAAAACAGGACCACATTGTAGATTTGCTTCATATCCAGTAGAGTGTGGCTCACAACACATTTCTGTGACACAAACTTGTTTAGAATGACAATGTTTTCTCAAGATTTCAACCATTGGTACAGAGCTCTCCCGAAGGCAGAAATACCTGACCCAATGTGAGGAGCTTCATGCATTAGCTGCATCTTTTCACTCGGTCATGGTCCTGTTTTCTACGGTGCACTGAGGAGTGATGTGGTCCCCAGAGGGAGCCAGCTCTGCCCCAGTGATCATGGGAATCCTGTCCTCTGAAGCTACTAACCAGGTGTCTGATCTTAAGGGAGCATTGCAGTTCCAGAGCAGGGCAGGTGCTCCTTACTCACAAGGCACTTTGAATTTCAGGAGGAATTCTGCTACCCAGTGGAGTGCCTCGCTCTCACTGTGGAGGAAGTGATGCATATTCGTCAGGTCCTGGTGAAAGCGGAGCTGGAAAAGTACCAACAGTATAAGGATGTCTACACTGCCCTGAAAAAAGGAAAGGTAGAACTGTCTAAAGTTGGTTGAACTGTACAAGGCGAGCTCTCTTAAGAGGCCTGTGTGCTAGCCAGGTGGTATAGGACTTTAGGGGTCTTAGGAGGTGAGATATTTGTATTCTACGCTATTCCTTATTCACAAGAGGGGATTTTTTTGTTTCTCCCTTGGCAAAATTAAAAGAAGGTTTAAAAACGACCCTAAAGGATAGTAGCATGGCTTCCTAAAGCCATGTGCCCTTGAGTTGTGCTTTCCAAGGATCAATAAAGAAAGCATGTCTGAGGAATGGGAGTTAGCTTTCCTCAGAATTGATCCTGTGACCATGAGACGCTTGAGCACTGTGATCTTTTGTTGCTTTTGAAGAACTGTCATTAAACATAGAACTGGGTTATGTGTCAGAGCCAAGCATAAAAGCAGCATTTCTGGGTTCTCGTCCTCTTCTGTCCGCAAACATACCTGAAACATCCCCTAGATGACCAGGAAGTAGATCCACCATGGGAGCCAGGAAGGGTTGACCCCATTTCTCTTCTCCTTCTAACTTTGTATTTCCTAGCTCTGCTTCTGTTGCCGAACCCGGAGGTTTTCCTTCTTCACGTGGTCCTACACCTGTCAGTTCTGTAAGAGGTAAGGCTTTTGTCACTGTAGAGTTCCCACAGCCACAGAGAAATGCCAGGTACTCTTTTGTTCCATCCTCTTCCCACTCGAGAGTGGAATTAGAAAGGACCCATTCTGTGGCTTTGCCCTATGCCTGCCTTATCACTTGGCACTGCAGTTTCTTCAGGAGTGGGTTGAACTGTTGTTGAACCTGGAAAAAAAACTATGGCTTCACCTGCATCAACTGTGTCCCACCAAGTAACACTTCTTGTTTTGTACACAGGCCCGTGTGCTCACAGTGTTGTAAAAAGGTAAGCTTAACTCAATGAAATTACCAGTGCATCCATCTACTCACTACCCTGCCCATCCTAGAGCTCATTCTCACTTTTATTTCGGATAACAGATGCGGCTGCCCTCCAAGCCATATTCTACTCTACCTATCTTCTCGTTGGGGCCTTCTGCCTTGCAGAGGGGGGAGAGTTGTACAAGGTCAGAAAAGCCCTCCACTAGTCACCATCGGCCACTTCGAAGTATCGCCAGGTGAGCAGGGACCTGGATCTTCAAGAGCATCCTCTGAAGACGTAACACTTGGGGTTGGGGCGGTCATGCCAGGGCTAGGGTGTGGTCAGCGCATGCTGCTGCTTCAGTGATTTTTAATACAGTTTCCGTTTGCACAAATCTCCAAAGTTCCTCCAAGGTACTTTTTGGTTGGTAATACCTAGTTACTTAAAAGATATTTTAACATAGTTTTGTTTTCATTATACTTTGGAATAACTTTTATACCTTTAAAAAGATATCTTTAAAATTGACTTTTAGGCTAGGTGGGCCATGATCCCAACAGTTGGGAGAGGGAGACAGGAAAATTAGAAAGTCATTGGGGTTGGAAAGGTGGCACAGTAACTACTAAGAGCACTTGCTGCTCTTGCAGAGGACCTAAGTTCAGTGCCCAGCACCCACATGAGGCCTCACAACTGTAATTCCAGGTCTTGAGGTTCTGGTGCTCTGTTCTGGACTGTACAGGCACTACATGCATACATGTAGGCAAAACACTCATACACATAAAATAAAAATAAATCTAAAAAATAATTCCATTTTATCCTTAGTTACATAGTGAGGGCAGTCTGTGTTTCCTGAGGTGCTGTCTATAAAAACATTGTCCTTGTTTTTCCAGTCTGGTCTTCCTTTCCTCCTTGTCTAGTTGAAAATGAAATCCATTGACACTTGGGTTTATAACATCTCTTGTATCTGTGACTTGCTTTATGTAAAGGCAGAGGTGAAGCTTTATGCCAGAACTGAGTCTCAAACCATTGCATTCAGTACAGGCTAGGGCAGGACTGCCCTTAACAGAAAGGGAAAGTCCACTCAGGCCACATGCTAGCAGGTCCAAGAGATCCCTGACTCTGGGCTGTGGGGTAAGAAAGCCTTTTGCATAGTACATAACCTGGGCCTATGAAGCCTTGAGCCTTGACTTGCCCTCCTGGGACTTGGTAAGCACCGATGGGACAGGGACAAGCCCAGGACAGTCATCAGTTGACCAGGGCATTTGTCCCATTCACTGATGACTTTGAACCCACTGTGTCTTCCTTTTTGCTTTCTCCTTTGGGAAGTAGTTAGCTGATAACAATAGCTGGTTAGGTGGTCTCTGGTTACCTCAGTTTTGAAAACATTATGATTATAATTCAGCTCTCTGGCTCCACCTAGCAAGTCACTCAAATAGGATTGCTGAGGATGAGTGAACACATTGGGTACCATAAGAAGAGTGGTAAAAGGTGTTTTCTCAGGACAAGACACATAAGTTACTTCAGCTTCCTATAGTCTGACCTACTACTATCTGCCATCTCCTAAAGTTGATTGATAATGATACAGAACACAGGGCCTTGGACAAAGACCATGAACCAATAGAAGGATTCAGTAGGATGTTAGCAACGTGTATTTATATGTCATTTAGGTGTTTAAAACGACAGTCCATGCCAGGTGGTGGAGGTGCATGCCTTTAATCCCAGCACTCAGGAGGCAGAGGCAGGCAGATCTTTGTGAGTTCAAGGCCAGCCTGGTCTACAGAACAAGTTCCAGGACAGACAGGACTATTATATAGAGAGACCTTGTCTCAGAAAACAAAAAAACAAACAAACCACAGTCTATGATATGGTAATCAAGAAAATACCTGGACACCCTATTTTCCAAAAATTCTACAGGAGATGAAAATTTCCAGTTACCTCATTTTCCTTGTTTCTTGTTTGTTTGTTTGTTTGTTGTGGTGCTGGGGTTGAACCCAGGGCCTTCACATGCTGGGCACGTATACTACCATTGAACAGCTAAGCAGCTCCCTAGCCACAGTATTGGGTTTTGCTGTTGGCTTTGTTTTGGTTTTGAGTGTTTATGTGTGTGGGCACAGAGTGTGCATTTAAAGGCCAGAAGTTGACGTTCAGTTTCTTCCTCAGTCACTCTCCATCTCATATATTGAGACTGGATCTGAACTTGGAGCTCCCTCTAACTGGCCACTTGCTGCCGGGTCTTCTGACTCAGCCTCCTGAGTGCTAGGATTATGGGCTAACCCCCAGCCCACTTGGCTTTCACATGGGTGCTGGGTATCAGCACTCCTGTCTTCACATTTGCAGGGCAAGAGCTTTTACCTGCTGGCCATTTCCCAGCTCCAGTGTTACTTCTTTTGATTTTTTAATTACTTTATTAGTTTATGCATATGGGTGTTTTGCTTGCATGTAAATCTGTCAACTACTTATGTGCCTGGTACCTGTGGAGCCCAGAAGAGGCCTTCAGATCCCATGTGTCTAGAGCTTCCTGTGGGTTCAGGGAATTAGACTCAGGTCCCGCAGAAGAGCAATTCCAATTCCACCCCACCCCACAGTAGTAGTGTTGTTGTTGTTGTTATTTTCTTTCTTTGTCTTCTTCCTTTTTCTTCTTTCTTCCTTCTTTCTTCTTTTCTTGAGACAGGGTTTTTCTGTGTAGCCCTGGCTGTCCTGGAACTCACTCTGTAGACCAGGCTGACCTTGAACTCAGAAATCCACCTGCCTCTTCCTTCCGAGTGCTGGGATTAAAAGTGTGCACCACCACCACCTGGCTCTCTTACCTGTTCTTAATATTGCAGTTGAACTATTATGAATACTAAATATTTTTAGTATTCCCCGCAGGTTTTCCTCAAAATCGAAGTCGATGGACAAATCAGATGAAGAACTCCAGTTCCCCAAAGAGTTCATGGAGGATTGGAGTACAATGGAGGTCTGTGTAGACTGCAAAAAGTTCATTTCTGAAATCATCAGCTCAAGCCGGCGCAGCCTGGTGTTGGCCAACAAAAGAGCCCGGTTGAAAAGGAAGACACAGTCTTTCTACATGTCCTCGGCAGGCCCCTCGGAGTACTGCCCCTCAGAAAGGACTATCAATGAGATCTGAGCCCTGTGCCTTCCCTTTGCTCTTGTGTCCAGAGGCGCTTCAGTGCATCCGTGCTGCAGGACTCTTCCCGGGGTCTGACCTGACAGGCTCCATCTGCAGCAGGGCAGGCTTGTGCTGCACCTGTGGCACAGACAGACTCAAGGCTGTGTTCAGATCGCTCGATGGTACGAGGCAGGTCAGCCAGTTGCTCATTTGCACTCAGAAAGCCTAAAACTTGATTGATTTTGTGTATGTGAATAGGGAAGCCAGAAACTTCCTGAGTTCAGTTTCTCAATGTTCTTCAGATAATTTCCTAAGGCAAAAAGCTGCTTGTGTGTGAAGTCAGTCTGACAGAGTGTTGATGTTAGCACAGTTGTAAGCAGTAAGTCATATTGGCATTCCACTTGACAGTGTTCCTATCCATGTATATAACGGTCCAAAGCCCTGCCACACACCGGCTCCCTGGGGTGGGCCAGGTTGGCTATTGTCTCACAGCACAAACCTTGAAGGCCTTGCTGATAATTCTCCTACTTTGGGGCTCTGGCTGCATCCAGTGCAGAACATCCAAGTGGGCCGGACAGGTAGCCGCTTCCCTGAGTTGCCTGGTCTGCCCAGGCACCATGCCTCACTGTCCCTGAGCTGCTTACAGGGCCCTCATTCCCTGTTGTGAATGTATATGGTTCTGGAAAGTTTTATAACACACGTTTAAGAATTAAAATTTTGTGGACGTTTGAGGAAAAAGGAAGACTAAAATTTTGTCAAGCAGCTAAATGTGTTTTGATAAACTGTGACAGGCTGTGACCGCAGAGGGTGCCACAGAAAAGAGCTACATCTCATACGGTTTTAGCAACATTTTCCATAACTTTCTAGTGTGGCCATTGTGACTAAATTAACCACAGTTTGGTACCTGAGTCTCAAACTGAAGTTTATTTTTATAAATGAATTTTAAAAGAAAAATCCTGGCTGTTTAAATTTTCAAGAAAATTAACCTGCTGCCGTGCATAACTTTTGGATGCTTTTTGCACTAGTTGTCTTGTAAATGTTCCTAAGTTTCTGACAAAGGGCAGTTGGCAGGTAGTGTTATGCACCTGAAATTCCTCAGTTCCTGTGACACATGCCATGGGCTGTCCCTCATTTCCATATGCTTAGAAATAACCAGTCAGTCAGATTGCCACTAATGGTTGGAAAATCAGTTATGGCACATGCACAGTAATTCCTGAAAGCTATTAAAAAGCACTCTCACACACCACTGATGACAGCTCCATTTAATGATGAAAGGCATGACAGTTGCATTTCATACCAACATCAAGATAAAGTAACATTGCCACATTAAATTGACAGTGACACCTCAGAAATGCTCCAGTAGTCATTTCTAATGCATTGAAATTTATAGTTTAGTAAATGGCTTTAAATTACTTATACTGACGAAATAAACTTTACCAATTGACTAAAGTAATGCATGTTAGTAGTTCCTCTGTACTGCATGTAGAAGTGGGCCACCAGAAAACCCTTACCAACTACATTCCGGCTGTGTTTAAGACTTGTTTAAGAGCTGTAAAAGCTGTATTGTGTAAATCCCAGTTACACAGTTTCCCCTGAGACCATCTGAACTTTACACTGCTCTTAAAATTTTTAAGTTCTAAAACCAGAACAAAACAAGCCTGACCTCCTGGAAGGGAGCACGGCAGAAGGAATGGAGGTCCTTGTGTAGGTTTATAAGCATGCGTCTAGGGTAACATGCTTCTGTAAAACGGTGACTAATTACTGTCTGACTTCCCACAGAAGACACTGAGCCACACCCCCAAGTGAAAATTTCATTCCCATTCACAAATCAATGACCTAGTAAACCTCATGGATTTGACCTCATTCCTTCAGGCTTATAGTACTGTGCATAGTGATTTGGGCATTGTGGACACTTTTACTAGAGCATCAGGATGTAAATCTTTCAGCACATTTGCCAAGTGTGTTAAAGAGTTCAAGTATATGCCATGCTCAGTAAAACAACCTACAAGAAGGGGTGGAAAAATGGCACATGACATGGTGGAAATGGTAGAATAAAACTACTGTTGTTCGAGGAACACCAAAACAGATGTGTGTGTTTAACTCCTCCTTGGCTACAGGACAGACTTTCTTCCCCAGCACTCATAATAAGCTAGGATTCCATAGGCTAAGCACTCCAGAGCTGGCTCAGCTTGTGCGGCTTGCTTTAGAAGTCCTGGCTGACAGTGGTCAGCTTCCTGTCCCCAGTAACCTCCATCTGCAGGCCCTTTGTCCTGCTTCCTTCCCTGCTGTGCTGCTGTTCCAGTTCACAGTTGTTATGCCTGACCCCAGAGTATGATGCCTCTCCTGAACACATCTGGATATGGTCCCTTCCTGACCCCTCCAGGCATGAGCACCAGTTCCCATAGACCATGAGGTCAGAGTATGTAAAAATGCTTGTAAATATTGTAACATATTCATTAATATTTGAAAGACATTTGTTATCGGCAGTGGGAATTAATTCTCTCAAGAAAAGTAAAAATTAAATAATTGATTTGTACATTGACTTAATTACTAGATTTCAAGTCTCAGCCCTTTCAAATTAAACCAGAAAGTTGTTATTGCAGTAGTTCTAAAAATGATCTGTGTTGAAGAAATGTGTGGTTAGTACCATGAACTCAACACTATGAAGTTTGTAAGGTTTTTATTTTTCTAACTACTAATAGAGGGCTGGAGTTTAGGTGAATATAGGAATCATGAAAGTTTTAAATTACATTGCTATTTGTTAAAATAAAACAAAAAATTTACACATTGAAGGACCATGAAGAAATGTGTACTGGTCTGTGTACTGACTGGTCTCTGACCTGGCTTCCCTTCCCATGTGTGTAAGCAAAGTATTGCTGACAGTCCAAGATAAACGACAGTGCTAAATGTGTTCCACAAGGTGTGATGCCACATACCTTTAATCCCAGCATTCCAGAGGCAGAAGCAGAAAATCTCTGTTATTGCAGGACTAGCCTGGTCTACACAGTGAGACTTTCTCCTCCTCCTCATTTTTATTCTTATTCTTCTCCTTCTTCCTCCTCTTCCTCCTCCTCCTTGGCATTTTATTTTAAAACTTATATAGGGGAAAAATAAAATGGTTTTCATCATACCTTCTCTATTGAGTTCCTGTTGTAAAATGGTGATGTCTTCCAGGAACTAACTAGCTGTTAGAAATCATGCAGGTTATAAAGCTTGCAGCAGCAATTTACAAACACTTTAAAAATACAGTCCCCAAGGACCATGTAAGAAAACTAAAAACAGTTCTGCCCTCAGTGACTACTGTTAGGCAGCAGGTGACTAGAGGGGTAATTGCCAGGTATGGTGGAACACATCTGTGGTCCCAGCATTTGGGAAGTGGAGACAGGAGGATCATGGGTCTAAAGTTTGCCTGGGCAGCTTGGCCTTGCCATACAGCAGCCTTGGCCCTGCCGCTTCCCTTAACTGTAAGCATCCACTTGCTCAGACATGGCTTTTCCCCCATCTGCCCCAGAGAAAGGGGAGGGAAGGGAGAGTGTGTATGCATGAGGAGGTCTCAGCTGTCATCGCCGAGAATGTTCACGTGTCCTTCGAGAAAAGGTGGTGGTTCTGAATTGACCAGTTAGACTAGGCTCATTTTCCTTGAGTTTGTATACTTCCTGCTGTTTCTGTTATTGTTGATATCAAGCTGTATTCTTTTTTTTTTGTCTTTTTTTTTTTTTTTTTTTTTTTAGAGCTGAGGATCAAACCCAGGGCCTTGGGCTTGCTAGGCAAGAGCTCTACCACTGAGCTAAATCCCCAACCCCTCAAGCTTTATTCTTAACATAGATACAGGATGTTATTTAAATTTCCTTATATTTTTGAGACTTGCTTTGTGTCCTAGTATGTGGTCAGTTTTGGAGAAAGTTCCATGAGCTGCTGAGAAGAATGTAGATTATTTACTCTTAGGGTGGAATGTTCTGTAGATGTCTGTTAGGTCCATTTGATTTATGACATAAATGCCATCTTTTCTTTGTTTAATTTTTGTCTTGATGACCTGTGTGTTGGCAAGAGTGGAGTATTAAAGTTACACACTTACCTGTGTGTGAGGGTCCATATGCTATTTGAGCTGTAGTAGTGCTTCTTTTTGGGGGGTGGGGTGGGAGTTCGAGACAGGTTTTCTCTGTGTAGTTTTGGTGCCTGTCCTGGATCTCGCTCTGTAGACCAGGCTGGCCTTGAACTCACAGAGATCCACCTGGCTCTGCCTCCTGAGTGCTGGGATTAAGGGCGTGCGCCACCACTGCCCGGCGGATCCTGTTTTCTAATCCAGTCTGCTAGTCTGTGTCTTCTTTTTTTTTTTTTTTTTTTTTTTTTGGTTTTTCGAGACAGGGTTTCTCTGTGTAGCTTTGCGCCTTTCCTGGGACTCACTTGGTAGCCCAGGCTGGCCTCGAACTCACAGAGATCCGCCTGGCTCTGCCTCCCGAGTGCTGGGATTAAAGGCGTGCGCCACCACCGCCCGGCCTGTGTCTTCTTATTGTGAAATTGAGACTATGAACAGTTTTGGGTAGTGTGTATTGATTCCTGTTATTTTGTTATGGATTTGGTTTTTCCCCCTTTTGATTTCTGTTCTGGGATTATGTTTCTTTTGTCTTCTTGGGTGTAGTTAACCACTTCAGATTGAAGTTTTCCTTCTAGTGCCTTCTATAAAGCTACACTGGTAGATAGAAATCACTTAAGTTTGATTTTATTTTGGAATGTTTTTCTTTCCTTATCAGTTGTGGTTGACAGTTTTGCTGGGTATAGTAGGCTGGCCTGGCATCTGTGGTCTCTTCTCAATTTGTGGAACATGCATCTAGGCCCTTCTGGCTTTCAGTCTCTTCATGGAAAAATCAGGTTCACTGGGCAGTGGTGGCACCTTTAACCCCAGCACTCAGCAGATAGAGGCAGGCAGACCTCTGTGAGTTTGAGGTCAGCCTGGTCTACAGAGTGAGTTCCAGGACAGCCAGAGCTACACAGAGAAACCCTGTATTGGAAGAGGGGGGGGAGGGAGGGAGGGAAAGGAAAGGAGAGGAAAAGAGAAAAAAAAATCAGGTATTATTTTAAGGGACCTGCCTTTATATGTTACTTGGTCTTTTCCCCTTATACCTTTTAATATTATTTCTTGTTCTGTACATTTAGTGCTTTGATTATTATGTATCATGGAGAATTTCTTTTCTGCTCCTGTTTGGTGTTGAGTATGCTTCTTGTACCTTGATAGGCACCTCTTTTAGACTGGGGCATTCTTTCCCCCACCCACCCACCATTTGGTTTTTTGAGATAGGGTCTCTACATAGCATAGCCCTGGCTATCCTGGGACTCACTATGTAGACCAGGCTGGTCTGGAACTCACAAAGATCCACCTGCCACTGCCACCTAAAGGCATGTGCCACCCCTGGCCAAATGGAGAAATTTTCTTCTGTAATTTTGTTACGAATATTTTCTGTGCCTTTGACCTGGAGTTTTTTCTTCTTCCTCTATCCCTATTATTCACAGGTTTAGCCTTTTCATAGTGTTCCAGATTTCCTTGTTTTTTGCCAGATTTTTTTCTTAATTTAAGGTTTGTTTGTTTTTTTGTTTATTATGTACACAGTGTTCTGCCTGTATGCATGCCTGCAGACCAGAAGAGGGCACCAGATCTCATTACAGATGGTTGTGAGCCACCATGTGGGTGCTGGGAATTGAACTCAACCTCTGGAAGAGCAGCCAGTGTTCTTAACCGCCGAGCCATCTCTGCAGCCCGGTGGTTTTCTTTGACTGAGCTCTTCATTTCTTCTACCTTTGTCTTCAGCACCTGAGATTTTTCTCTTCCCTGTCTGTCTTGACTGTTAGTGTTTGTGGTTTACACTAGGACCCTAGGCATGTGAAGATGTGCTGTGCCAGGTGCTTCTTGGTGGATATCTGGTCTTGCCTTTGTTGGGGCGGGGGAGCATTCTGTTCTTTTGTTGCTGCACCCCACTGGATCCTAGGCATGTGGGGTGGCTCTGCAGGGAACACAAAGGAAAGGAGATGGGGTAGGAGGAACGGCTGAGAGGGGCATTGGGAAAGAGCTAGCGGACCAGGGTCCACACCAAGAGGCAGAGTCCCCAGGGCATGGAGATGGGGTGGGAAGGGGTGCTCCTGAGGCAGGCTACAACAGGGGGAAAAGTACACCTAGAGAGACCATAATGAAAGCTGTTTGTTGAGGCACGACCTCATGCAGCCCAGGCTGGCCTTGAATTTCTGATTCTCCTGCCTCTACTTCCCCACGTGTTCGGATCACAGGGAGGCACCACCAAGGCCCAGCTCTTTGTGTGCAAAGTACTTCATCTGAATCTCTGGAAAGATTCATCATAGACTGCTCACATACACAGGTGACAATTTAAAACAAAATTGATCCACACAATGTAATTCTCAAGGAACTGATGATGTTAACTTATGGTGCCCTGAGTGGCATAGAACAAAGCCAGCTCTGTGCCGCGTGGAGGCAGCTCAGAGGGAGAGCAAGTGCTGTCTGCCGGCCACATCACTGTTGGTGCCTGGACCTCAGCCTGGACTTGTACTGTCCTCAGAAAAGAGTAAGGAACCTCTCTAAAATAAAAGCAAATGGGCCGAGCGGCAGTGGCACACACCTTTAATCCCAGCACTCGGGAGGCAGAGCCAGGAAGATCTCTGTGAGTTCGAGGTCAGCCTGGTCTACAGAGTGAGATCCAGGACAGGCACCAAAACTACACAGAGAAACCCTGTCTCAAAAAAAACAAAAAAATAAAAATAAATGGAATTAAACTTCCCTAAAGGCTCTCTAGTCAGGAAAGGTCAAGACAGGATTATTTGGGAAAACTTACAGTGAATGGAGCAGTGTGAAAGGGAGGCCAGTTGGAAGGTGACATGGGAGCCATCTGTGGCTGTGTAACAAATTACCTAAAAACCATCTCGAAATTATGAGCCTTTATTATAGCAAAAGTTTGTGGGTTCAGCAGCAGCGTGGGACCACGTGTCCATGCAGAGTGGCATCAGAGATGCCAGTGGACATCATTACTTGAAGGCTGGACTGGGGGCAACTCTGCTTCCAATGTGGCTCCTCACACAGCTGAGTGCCCTAGGGACCCGCTGGGCTCCTCGGTGACCTTACCATATGACAGACTGAGTCACAGGCCCCCTCAATACATGCTATTATGGGACTGAGTGCAGTGGCCTGTATGGATGCAGACAGCAGAGCTTAGGAGAGGTCATGGGGCACAGCCTCCTGGGACCATCATGGAAGTGATAGTTCAGCGTAGACTGGGACGGTAAGAATGTGAAACAAAAATGGATCTGAGGCCTTCCAAGGGAAGGTTTCCCTGTCTGAAGGGCTGCACAGAAGCTCAGAGGAAAAAGCCATAGTGGGATTTTGTGTTGGCAGATGGAAGCAGAACTCCGTATTGATGAGGAGGGGAAAGCTGTCTGGTGAAACAAATTTGGTTAATTTACAATGATTGAACACAGTGGGATCCTTACAAAACAGGACAGCAAAGGGCCAGATGGGAAGTGTTCCAGGTTTCGTGGGCCTCGGCATCTCAGATAGCCTGGAGTTGAGAGATTTTTTTTTTTCTTCACACCCTCTGAAAATAGCAAAACTATTTCTCGCAGCAAGCTTGGCTTGCCAGCCCCTGCCCTGGTAAAGTGTGCTATAACCAGCAGCCAGCACAGAACTTGAAAAGAGGCTGGAGACCCAAATGGGTTCTACTAAGTGCTAATTACTACTTGATAGTTTCAGTTGATGGCTCTTACTAATGGCTTAGAAGTTGACAAAAACTGAAAA